CCTGTGTATCTATTTATTTTTAGGGTTCTTCCTGTTCAAGTGAAGTGCAAGAGAGTTTTCCTGTAGAGGTCACTAGTAGCTTTTTGATTACTTTCTCCCTGAGTATTAATAATGGCTCTACCATCAAGCAGAGCTGTCCTCTGGCTCACTTGGAGTCTAGCAGTGGGATAATGTAGATTTACTTTCTTTTGATGAAAACCATGATAAAGATGCTGTAATTTACCTTACATGACTGAGTAGTTCTTCTTCCCTGAGGGGTTTCTGATCCTCCCACATGCATTTTTAAATTCTTCTTTTCCCCTCTTTCCTGCCCAGGTCATCATCTCCGAACAACACTAACCCATTTGGGTCAACGTTTTGCTTTGGACTGCAACGAATGATCTTTGAGGTTAGGAAAAAACCTTGATTTTTGTCTGAGCAGGGGAGGGTGAAGAGTCTGCTGTTGTTATGGGTGGCCTCTTACTCCCCGTTGTGATAAAAGCCAGTGCTTGGGAGTGGCCATATTTTTAGTGCCCACTGGCAGAAAGAGGTGACTTTCCAAGCTCTTCTCTGAGGTTGCACATTTGCATGTTAAAGCTGGAACTTTGTCACCTGGAACTCCAGCCAGCAGGAGGTACATGGCCGTGGCTCTGAGCAGTGGTGGAGCATGCTGGTGTTTAGCTGTGTCACAGAAATCCAGGCACTGTTTTTGGGAACCAGCCAAGCACTTGCTTTCTGGCGTTGGGATTTCTTTTTCCGGGCGGATCAGTTCCATATTCACCACTTTCACCCTTCTGGGTTTCTGTCCCCTGTACCAGTGCTTTTAACTCGCCCTTGTCCTGCTGTGCCTTTGCAGGTGATGCAGAATAATCACATAGCCTCTGTCACCCTGTACGGCCCCACGCGGCCCAGCAGCCAGCTGAGGACGTCGGACCTTCCCCAGTGAGCCTCCCCTGCAGAGTCAGCTAATCTCAATGCTACACAATTAGTACAGCGTGCCTTGATTTGCTGCCACTTATAATATGGAAAGCACGTTATGATTTATTTTTTTTTTTCAATAAGCCTTTCCACCCAGGAGCGGTGTGGAGAGGGGATTCTCTCAACCCTTCATCATGGGGCATGGAACTGTTGCTGGAGGAAAGCAGCTTAGGTGCCTGTGCCGTCGTTTATTCCTCTCCGTTGCCCTCATCCTATGCAGCACAGACCTGAAGAGACTGTCCCCCCTTCTCAGCTGGCAGAAGGGGGAAATGGAAGAGGGGCACATAATGACTGCAAGAGTTAGAAGCACAAACTTTCTGAGCCTTGGAGCATCTGGAAGCAGGTATTGATTTTAGTCTGTTTGTGTTACTGTATTGATGTGGTGGTCACATTTTAAGAAAAACGTGTGTGTATATATATATAGATATAAACACATCGGTATTTCTGTGGCTTAGGACATTGTACCAAGTGTGACAAGGATGTATATATGTCCATGATTTCAGGCACCACATCTTTGTGTAACTTTAAACCAAGCAAGTAGCATGTGCATAATACTTGGTTGTAACATTTGCACTACATACACTTTAATTACTTGATAAATGTTTATCTTCACTGAGGAGCATCTGTGTACTGGGTGTGAGTGGGGTGTGATGGTTATTTAATGTACACTGCGCATAAAGCTTATTTATACAGTGGATCAGATTTATCCACCTTCCTGCACTAATATGTACTTGATATGCTGATACAATTTTTTTCTTTCATGGCTGGTTTACTAATTTTTTTCATACGCAGTTTCAAAAAAAAAAATAATTCTGGAAGAAGTTGTTTCTATGATTGAATTATGTTTTAGTGAAAAGATTTGATACAATTTTTCATACTAGTGAAAAATTTCACAAAGAAATAATGTTGCCTCATTTGCCTCTGTTGCAAAATCCTTTATTCCTACTCTGTTTCCTTAGAGAAAGAGGAGCTGTATATAATGGTATCTCAGACAGAAATCCCCGAGTTCTGCCATCACCAGGAAAACCTTTTCTGTAACTTCTGATGTGTGATTTTAATTTATGCCAAAGGTTTAGCCAAAGACATCCTTGCTGTAGTTCCACCATTTCTGTACATATATGCTAACTGCACACCCCACCCCAGCAGACAGGATAGAGGCTTCTTTCTAGTTGGGAGATGCTGCTCGCGACATTTTATCCCAGGAGGATACTTTAGGTTTCTAGTTCTCTTACCAGTCTTATTTGGGAGAAATAGATGGTCTGTCTTTGAAACAATGAACCCTTTTTAAAAATGGACAAGAGAAATGTATAATTTTATCCCATTTTTAATATTTTGGTGTCGCAACTTGTGATACATAGATGACAATTTTGTGAGTTTTACTATGTGTGTACAGATTTTTGTAAATATGACATTTTTGTAATTTTAACTCCATGTACAGTGTAATCCTGTATAGTTTATCAATGAATGAGAGATAGGAAATCGAATGTTAACTGAAGTTTTGGATCCTGGACCAGTAGCAGGGATAAATGTGTGTGTGTGTGAGATGTTCTTTGCCATTTAGTCTTCCTGTATACTGTGATACTCTAAACTGTTTTGCTAAAACAAACAAAAAAGCCCCATGGAAAATCTAATGGATAAGGAAAAAGTTACTGTTTACCTTTATCCCTAGGTGTCACTCCTGTTGAATCCCTGTTCAATCTGTGCTGTCTCCCGTGATCGTTGCTTGCTAAGAAAATTCTATGCCTCAACCTTCCTTTTTGTTTCCTCTCTAATTTTAATTTCATTTTACATAGCCCTTCTGTAAATTAAATGGAATAATAATGAGCATGTACACTGAAAGAAAAAATAAAAAGAGACTCTCAGTTACTGTTTTTGTGTTAAATACAGTTGCTGGGTGTTTTTGTAATAAAATCACGGATGTTCTTGCTTTTTTTTTCTTATCAAATAGTTCTTTTTATTTTACTGTCTTTCAGAGATCATATTTGAAGTACCTGACTAGTGTTGTTCCTCTATAGCCAATTCAGTGTGTTCTCCAAAGAAACAGTAGCTAACAACTTGCAGTCTGTTTCCTGGCAGATCCATTAAAGTGTTTTATAAGTGTTGGCCCCGAGGTGTGGAAGGTCGGTGTGACTCTGGGGGATGGCCCGGTGGGTTCTCACTGTGCTCACAAGGGCAGTTGTTCTGCTCCTGTCTGCTGTTGGGATCATGGGGATGGATGGAGTTTCCAGGAGTGTGAATGTTGCCCAGTGGGAGGGAGGGAGGGAGGGAATGCCTGCAGTGACAGCAGCAAATGGGAATTCTCATCCTGTGTTCTCCTGCCCGAGGTGCTTCAGGAGAGCACGTGGAGTCTGCAGAGCCTGCAGGCATAAGGACAGGGGGTAAGGAGTGGGACTCCTGTTTCCATTCCTCCACACTGGCTGTGTAATGCAGGGTACAGCACCTGGCCCTCCTCGCACATCCCTGGGTGCTGGAATGTAAAATGACCTTGCTTAGTGCTTGGCTCAGTGTGCTCCTGCAGGATTTTGTGATCTCTGAATTGAGATGGTGTGCGTGCTTATTCTTGTTGCTAAAATATGACAGCAATCCTGATGCTGACTTCAATTAATTTTAATTAATCCTTTTCTAATGAAGGCTCCACAAAAGCTGCAAGAGGAGATAAATCCTTGATGGGAATATTTGACTAATGGCTATGCAGATGCTGCCAAGATGCTTCTCTCAAGCATATTCAGTTGAAATTCTTCAGAAGAGTGAGGTCAGGCCTGCTGCTGTAACATGCACCCTGAGCCTTAGGGCAGGAGCAGCACCAAAGGTGTGTAACAATTCCTGGGACTCCCACCTTCACTTGTAATGCTCTCGTGTGTCCAAGTGACTAAAACAGTGCTCTCCTGACAACCCAGATTCTTCTCTAGGTCAGTCCCTTCATACTGGAAATTTCTCTGCACAGACAAAAAATAAAAGGCAGCTTTACCTGCTGGCTGCTGCTGGGCTGAGCACAAAGCCTTTGACTCTGGGGAGAGGCAGATCTGAAGGAGCACCCAGGGAGATTGGAGCAGCTCCTCTGGGTCTCCTCACCCTTCCCTTGTGAATGCAGCTGTTCCCAGGTCACTCCTCTGAGATGTTTGCTCCTATTTGGCCTGAACAAAGCCAAAGCTCTTCCTGTGCTAAAGCATTAGGGAAGCTGCTGAGGAGCAGCTAAGGACTTGCTGGCATGAAGAGTTTAGGAATGGGTGGAGGGGACTGATGGTGGTTTTGAAGCACCAGAAAGAAGAGAGCAAGGAGTAGGGAACAGAGGAGCTCTGGGGAGAAGGTGAGGAAGGGAGTGTGACAAGGAGGAGGGGCTGGCACAAGGCAGTTTGTGTGAACCAGAAGGTGTTCTGTGCACAGGGCTGCTCAGGGTGCAGTGTGTGCCACCTCCAGCTCTGCCAGGGGATCATCACCTTCCCCTCCCAAGGAAATGAGGTTTGGGCTGCATCAGATCCCATCTCAGCAGGTGCCCTTGTTCCTTCTCAGAATTATGTGTGGTTTGATACAGATCCTGCATGTTGGCAACATGTGCATTGGTCCATCGTTTTGGTTTCATATGATAAAACTGTTTGATATAAAGTTAAGTACAATTGCATTTTTAATAAAACACACAGTGCATATTTTGATGTGTGCCTTTTTCCTTTGTGAAGAAATGAAGAGTTTATGTGTGTATGTCTGCTTAACTTGAATATTGCAGTATTTTCCACAGAATTTCATTTGTTTACACCTAATAAAACTGCCCTTCTTTTTGGAGGTGAAGCTGACATTTCTTCCTGTGTTCTTCAGGCCTGCAAGCAGTCCCTGGGCTCCCGTGAAGACTACAGGCAGTGCTACATAGATCAGTGCTGCTGTGTAATACTAGAACCCTCTGTTCCCCAAAATGCAGTTCCTGTAGAGAAAACCCAATCTGCTGTTGCTGGGAGCTGTCACACTTGTAATTCTAAACAGATTTTTTTGCTGAAATAGTAATCAGGTGGTGTGTGAGAACTGATTCATGTGCTCATGATGGTTCATATTCCAGAGCTCCCATCAAACCTGTTTAAAACAAAATCTTTCCTGGGGCTCAGCATTCCGAGAAGATGGTGACTCATCGTTCTGGGGGCTGGCTGGAGGTGAGGGGCCAGCTGGTGTTTTCCAAAGGGACACCCTGGGTGTTGCTGCCCACTTCACATGGGTTTCTACCTGTTGTTAGAGCCTGTTAGTCACTTAACTGCCAAGTTGGACTTGTGTGAGGTTTTGTGTTTGATGGCTCAAAGTGTATATTGAGAGTGAACCTGCAGGTGTGAGTCAGTGTGGCTCTTCCAGGAAAGAAGTGCTGTGTCCAAGCCCTCAGTGCTTTCTTGCTTCAGAGTGTTTGGGCAAGGACCAAGTTGTCTGATTTGACACAATTTCACATGGGCTGGTTGTGTTTCATAAGTCTTTGAGTTTGGAATAATTCTTGGTGTCATGCTGTAAGAAACATTATTCCATGCTAGTTACAGGTGGTCCTTTTCAACTTTTGCCCAATGAACACCTTGTTTTTTCTTTTTTTTTTCTTTTTTTTTTTTTAGTGTGAGTACACCAATGCAAAGCCTCCTCTGTGACTCTGTCACACATAACCTGACACAGCACATGGAGCCAAGTAAATGCCTCACTTTGTGTACCTGGGGAGTTAAAGTACGGGTTAGTTCTGGTTGGTTCTTTTCATGTAAAGGTTCTTTTAGTGGCCCAGGATGTTTCAGAGAGAAGGTTGAAGCAAAACAGGGAGAAGTGAGTAGGAGTTAGTGAATCAGGGGGCTTTGTCACGGGCCATGGTGGAACCAGTTCAGAGTGAAAACTGCACCACGAAGGGATTTGGTTTTGCTGGGCTGTGTTACCTGGGGGGCTTGGGGGCAACTTAAATATATTCTTTACCTATGTGAACTTTTGCTGTAAATAGTAAAGTCACTGTTTAAATGTCCTGTCTGCCAAACCTTACATCCAACGCTTTTGTGGTGTTTGCAGGGATGTTTGTTTTTCCAGCAGGCAAAATCATTCCTTCTCCTAATCTGGGAATACCAAGTGCTTGAAACAGCAGGAAAGGTAAGCTGGAGTTTGCAGAGCAGGTCACTCACTGTGGTGTAAGACAGCATTGTAACAGTAACTTTTGTTCTGGACTGGTTGTAATGATTTCATGTAATCTTTTCTCTTTGATACACTAATGAATTCCCCTTTAAATGTTACTCCTTCAGTTATTTTAAAGTACTGCATATTGCAATTCTGGAAGCTGGTGTTAAATGCCTTGATGTTTCACACCTACACTAGATATTCCACTGAGTGCATAAGTTTCATGCCAGTATTATTATCCTTCAGAGAGACATTTAGTGTAAATACCAATCACAAAAACCCCTGCATGATTATGCAATGTGCAGTCTAATCAACTAAATAATCAAAACACTGATTCACTGTATTCCCTTTTCACCTCTGCTCATCTCTCCTAGAACTGCAGCCCTGAAATCCCGAGTTCACCCCACCCCTCACTGGTAGCTCTGTTGCACCCACAAGTATAGAGGCTGTGGAGGTCATTTCACCCCTTTCTTCTGCTCCCATGGCTACAGGCACCATTTGTTTTAATATCATGCCTTGATTCCCACTCAGCTCAGTCAGCCCCTGGGACAAGGCTGTCACTGCAGACCTGTGTGATTTTGTACTTTTCCCCTGTTTTTAGCACAGGGCTTCTCAACAGATGGGCTGGGAAAGTGAGGGAGAGAGAGAGAGAAGATCCGTGAGCTGGGTTTGGATGGATTGGAGGGAGCATTGGGCTGGTCAGGAATGGTGGAGGACCTGTTTCCCACTCTTGGAGAGACTCAGATGTGCTTCTTTGGGGTTTACTTTCCCCTCTCATGTCTCACTATGGTTTTCTTACTGACCATAAGCCTAGAAAGTAATGACAAGTTGTATTTAAAAGTTCTACTGGTTTTTAACACTGTCCATGGAGTCAGTGGCATCGTTAAGAAATGAGGACATTTTCTGGGCTGCCGAGACCTGCAGCTCCAGCTGGAAGAGGTACAGCCCAGGAGACTGGCAGTTCTTCAGGCTGGGCTCTGGGCTGGACTCTTTCTCTCTGATCTGATGGTCTTCCAGCACTCCCCAGGGAGTGTTCCCCGTGCTAACATTCAGTGAGGGTTCTCGGAGCTGTTTGATTATTTTGTACTGTTTGAATTTGCAGTTGGGCTTTGCTTCCGAGAACCTGCTGCAGAGAGATGAATAATTAAACTGCAGACAGGAAGAACAAGATTTTACCACTCCATTGCTCAAGCCATCTTTGGCTTTCTGTTTGATGATGCTGAGCCTGCAGTGGCTTGACTGACTGACGGATCTTGGCACTCACTGCCAGTTCCCGTGTCCAGAGACGCACTCGGAGGTGTTGAATGTGAGGTTCAAGCCAGCTCTGCTCGTCAGAGTGACCAAATCTGGCTACTTACGTACAGTAGGAATAAAACATGACTCTGTGTGGATCCCTGGGATTCAATAAAACCTACTGTACTTTATTAATTTCAGAAGTCTATGCCTGTCCTGAGAAAGTCTGCTTTGCTTTTTCTTGCTACTGGTGGAACCCACTTGGGATGTTTTTATGTTTTCTCATCATGGGTTAGTCATGAAAAAAAATTGCCAAGCAAGGCTTTTTAGCAGACATGACTGGTGTGTTGAATTAGCCAGTTAATTAAAGATACTCAGAATGTCACTCTGAAATGGATGGTTTTGTTTTTCTGAGGTGCATCAGAGAAGTCAGTAGAGGGTCCTTCCTGCCAGCTCTCATGCACACCTAAGGGTTTAGGATTTTCTGAAAAGACCCTTATCTTCTAGGAAACAATCTCCAGCTTGTGTGAAGTCCAAGATTTTTTGCCTGCTGCAGCAGTAAGTGGAATGTCATGAACTGCAGGGGCTGAGCCCTGTTCTCCAGCATCCCCAGAGCTCACACACAGGGCTGGGAACTTCCTGCTCAACTGCAGAAGCAAGTGGGAACTTAAAGCCAGGTCAAACAGGCCATGCAGCAGAGGCTGGAGAACAAAAGCAGATGTATCTTTCCTTAACAGAGACTCGATTTAGTAATCACTGGATAAAAGAAATGAGCTGTTCCCCAGCCTGAGACTGGAGTAAACAGTTTGCTCTGGTCTGGGCTCTGCCAGCTCTCAGGGTATGTGCTGGCACAGGCTGTGTCAACACAGATGTTGGGCAGCAACTTTGATCTGGGACAAAATGCACTCATTATTGCTGTGTTGTGGTAGATTGCAGATCTGAAGACAGTATAGAGGGAGGAGCCAATCTGTGCATCTCCAGGCTTAAAAGGAAGACCTTACTAAGGACTGCTGAACCTGAACATCTGCCCTGTGGGAAATGGGAAGGTAAGCCATGTTTATTTTTCTGTCATTGCCATTAAATCAAGTCCAGCACAAGGAAAGACCAAGTTATCCAAAATAATGAATAATGTATTTTTCATGTTAATGTCTTCCTGAAGAATCCCTGTGGTATCAGTCTTACAACATGTGTGCAGGTGTTCTTGACAGACTCACTCCAACATCCAGAGGCATGTCTGCATGCTGTCTTTTAATTATGGTATAAATAACCTCCAAAACTGTAAACTAATCACAGGTAATACATTCTTGTACAAGCTCACAAATACACAAGTATCACACATGGTAGCAGACAGGGGCAAGGGTGACTTTCTCCCACCAGCAAGGCTCTGGCTTAGTTCCACTCCCTGCAGAGCTCCTTGTGCAGCTCACATGAGCATTTTGTGTTTCAGGATCACATCTTGGAAAGATCCCAAATGTAGGAATCTTTTGATTCCTATACAGCTGACCTCTCCTTGGAAATACATTACTGTAAGGCTTAAATTCATGGTGAAGATGAAGAAAATGTGAGACTGTTGCTTATAATGTCCCAGTGGGTACCAGCAGTGTCCCAGTGCTCCGTGGTGTGCACAGCTGGGACAAGCACTGAGCCTGAACTGCTGCCTGGGGGGAGGAAGGTTCTACACAGGGATGGAATGCAGCTGCTGCAGGCTCTGTTCAAGGGACAGCAGCTTCCTGGATGTTTATGACTGATAGTAATTTCCTCTGAAGCTGTGTTCATGTGGCACTGGGGCTTCTCTGATGGATAGGAGTTGTTTTTTTTTAAAGGGAAAAAACTGCAAAAGAACTAACAAACACAGTATCAAAGGTTAATTCAGGCTCTTTGCCCCATGAATTTAGTAGCTTTTTAACCCTGATTTAGAGGAATTTACTTCTGCTCTGATGTCTAAAGAAAGGATATTCTTTTAAGGTAGTCTACTGTTGGAAAAAACAAAATGCAAAGTATTCACTATTCTTTGAAAAAGCATGTAATCCAGTGTTCTTGTCTGATGCTTAAAATAGTTAAGAAGTTACTGACTGGACCTTGGAAATCTCAGCAGAAAGATTGCTGTGTGGTTTGATTTCTTGCAATAAATTTAGACGGGCTTTTATTCTGAAGCCCTTTGGTCTGAAAAGTACTTTTTCCCTTCACGACACCCACAGCAGCATGAAAAGTCTTGGCTGCTCTTTGCAGCTGCCTGTGTGCCAAGCAAGAGGTCTAGAGAAAGCAGCCCAGTCCATTGACAAGTTGTTCTCTGGTCTGAAGCAGCTCCCAGATGTGACGCAAGCAGCAGCTCTGTGTGGTTTTACCCTTAAAAGCAAAGGCCAGAGGATCTCTAGAGTCAAACCTTCTGAAGATGTGGATCAGCTGGTGAGAGCAATCAAAAACTGCTGGATGACTTTTGAGTTTTCACTGAATGTCAGTCAGCACAGTGCAGAGAGCCTGAGCTCAGGGAAGTGTCAAAAACTGGCCCTCAGAGTCCTGAGTGTGTCAGTGGAGCAGGTGTTTGAACAGAGGAGTGCTGGGAGTAACAGAAGATCAAGGCTTAGAGGCTCAGAGTCCTTGTCCTTCTTTAGAGGCCCTTTGGAAGTCTGTTCCTTCCCAGTTTTCTGTGTACCTGTCCTGTGCTCAGCCAGCATCAGCACCCAGTTTGATTCCTTCTAATCCACAGTCTGCACCATACAGGCCCCCATTTCAGCAGCTCTCAGTTGTTCTCCCAAGGCCTCCAGAAAACCAGCCAGGCAGCAGTGATTCCAGCTGAGCCCAGCTGAGGTGGCCTGATTTCCTTTACTCTCGTTACTGTTTGGTCATTTGTCAATGAGTCCAAGTCAAGTAGCAAGCTGACAATGATCCCTGTGCTCCCTGGTGTCTGTGCTCTTACTTTGTATCTTCTTTCATTTCTCACATTTCTGACAATGCTGAAAAACCTCCAAGGACTGCATTTTTCAGTGTCCTTTTACACAGTGTCCCACTAAGCACTAGTATAATCCTAATAAATAATAATAAATTACATATATTGCTATGATTATTTGGACTCATTAATAGAGGAGAACCTACATGACATGTGTGTGCAAATGTGGAATTTGGGCAAATTCCTGCAGTTGTTTGCTGTGTTCTCTTAACAATAAGATGTGCTAAAATACTTGTGCAGTTGGTTTGTTGGGCTGTTCCAGCTCCAGGTTCCCTTTCTCAGCTGGTTTGCTGTGTGTTTGTGCTGCAGTCTGCCTGCATCATCTCAGGGGTGATGTTTGTGCTGTGGTTTGAGCTTTCTTTTTCCACTGGAAAGGCTTTTTCACTTGTTTCTTCTGAGTGCAGGAGAGACGTGGGCTGTGGAGCAGGTTCCACATCAGCCAGATCTCGGCAACTTTCAGGCTGTGAACTACCATGAGATCCTTGTAAAAGCAGGGATCAAATGTCTGTAGGTGTGGGGCAGCAGAAGGCTTGACAATGCCAAAGGTCTTGAACCCTTCATGCAAAATGGGCTTGAGGTTGATCCTCTGTAAGCACATGCCCAAGAAGACGTCGTCGATGGGGAAGAGTTCCACCTCCCTGCACGCCCTCGAGAGCCTCCCCATGGTGCGGCTGGAGAGCAGGAACCCTCCTCCCCCCGCGTAGGCCGGGTAGATGCTGAGCCCGTACATGGTCTCGGGGATGTAATATTTGCTCTTCCGGGCGCGGATGGGACGGGCATTGTAGATGATGTCCCCAACAAAGAGGTCCTCAGTGGGGTCGTGTCTCTTGAGGAAATCAACAATGTTCTCAATGTTGACAAAGACGTCGGCGTCCCCTTTAAAAATGAACTTGACGTCGTGGCAGAACTCGGCAGCCCAGCTCAGGAAGTGGATCTCCTTCAGGGTCAGGTTGAAGAAAGTGTCCATGAAGTCCCAGAGCAGAATGTCCCGGTATGTCTGACTCTCCTGGTGGATCAGGGTCTCCCACGTGGCCAGCACTGTCCTGTTCTTTGGTGTTCCCAGGAGGAACACTCGCTGGATCTGCTCCCCGGTCACCAAACCCTCCCTGCCCCAAGTTTTCCGGACGATCTCGCGCCTGTCAAAGTCTTCAACCACCGATTTGATGGCAATGAGCAGAAAGGGCCCCCCAGGTGTTTTCCGGCATTTCCTGGGCTGGTTGATGAGGAGGTTGAAGTTCCTCTTGTCCTTGTTGAGGAGATAGTGCTGGAAGTTGAAGGCAGAATCAGTCAGCGGGGGGGGAGTTGTAGCTTGGACCCTGTTCTTGGCCACTTCTGCTCGTCTAATGACAGGGGTAACTTGGGGTCTGGGTGCTGTTGCCTCTGCTGGCATCAGTCTCTGAGGTGCTCGGGGATCTGAGGATACTTTTGGGGTTGCTGGAGGCTTCTTCTGTGTTGGCTCCTTGTTTCCTGCTGGGACTAAATGTTCCAGCTGGGAGTAGAGTAAAGAGCAAAGTGCTACCAGCAGGAGGAGGGTGCAGATCACATCCCCTTTGAGGCGAACTCTCATTGTCTCTGTGGTGTTCCTGGACTGCTAAAAGCCTTGTTTGAGCTGCCTGGCACCAATGTCCATCTGTAAATAAACAGAGGGTGTCAGCAGCAGGGATTTGGCAGGTCTGGGGCATGCAGGAAAGACTCACTGACAGATCATTTAAAAAAAACCGGCAGCCAAGTGTGTTTTACTCAGACAAGCACTGAGACATCTTGAGGAACTTGCCCAAAGGCACACGGGGTTGCAAACCTGACCCTGACCCTGGCACTCCAATCTGTGACCTGGTTAGTTCAGTCATCATTCATCCTGAAACCCACTCTCTAAGCACCACCCAAAATCAGCCCTTCCTCCTGCATCCCTTGCTGCTGAACACATTTTGCTGTTCCAGAGATTTCACTGCTTTGGGAAAAGCAGGATGGAAAAGGATGAACGGTGCCATTCTTCCATAAGTCATTACTTTTTTCTTTTTCCCCGAGCTTCATAACTGTTACTTGCTGCTTTTACCCTTTTTGACTCAAGACAGGGAGGCCCAGAGCTGAGGGGCAGACTCTCCAGTGGCAGTGTGTTGCTGGTGTTTCCCTGCATACAGAGCCAGCTCTTGTTGAACCTGCAGTGTTTATATTCAAAATGAATACATCAGCCATGCTCTGGAATGCACACAGGGCGCTTTTCCTGCCAGTAATCTTTATAAAATATTAAACCATTATAAATAACTTCCATTAATAAGGTTAGAAGGGGCCACAGGTGTTCTTCCTCTGCCACATCACCCTAAGCAAGAGGTGGGGAAATAAATCCCAATATGCAGAAGCAAGACAGAGCCTGGGGTTAGGAATGTTTTGTTCACGTACGATAGATGAGGCTGCCCTGTGAAACACAAGATATTCCTCACTTACCCTTTTCCTGGGGATCTTCTGTCTTACTCCATCAGTTCTTCAACTGCAAACAGAAAATAACAAGGGAAGAGCAGTAAGAAGGCAGCAAGGAGCAGGTAACCAGCTCAGGGAGGCAGCTGGCCAGGCGTGGGCAGCAGCACAGGCAGGTTCTGTCCCCACTGCAGGAGCAGCCAAAGCTGAGCTGTGCAGAGACAGTCACAGTCCCTTCAGTCCTCAGCAAGGAGCAGTTCCTGAGTTTAGCTCCACCCAAAGGTTTTCCCCCAAGTGCATGTAAGTGTTTTATACCCCCCTGACAGTGTGTGACACTCACAGGTGGCACCTGTGGGATCTGGGCAACACTTCAAGACTTACGAGGAACCAAAATGATGACACTGGTTGGTTTCTTGGCCAGCCCCTTTAACACTGTTAGATGGACATTACTCAGACCTCATCATTTTAATATTGTGCTTTTTCATTACTGGTTAACTGCTTCTCTGAGTTACTGTTGAAATAGAGAGTGTTTCATCCTCATATGCTATCACCTGTCTTTTTCTCAAGTGCAGCTCCAAAATGTTTATTGACCTCATCTGCTTTGTCTCCGTTGTTTCTGAAACCTTTATTTTGGCAAACAGCAGGTCTGTGCCTTGGTGTAAGGCTCTGGTGCATTTAAAGTCACTTCTTCCTCGTCCTGATGACAATGGTTTTTTCTTCAGGCCTTGTTTCTTGCCTTTTTCTGGCCTCTCTTAGAGACCACTGGGGTTTTCTTCATTTGTTGGCTCTTTTCACTGTACCTTTCACTCCTCTCCCAGCCTGGGCAGATGTTTTAACTGGCACAGCTTTGATTCTAAGAGCAGGATTGTAGAATTTCCTCAGACCTCTTGTAAATTGTTGTTAAAATATTTAGACTATTCAGGATCTGTTTTCTGTTTATGTTCTTTCTGGCACATGACTTGGCTGATAACTATTTTCAGCCTCATGAAGCAGTCCCTGTGACACGTAGAGGATGTGTTTGCATTTCACATCTGTCACATGCAAACCCCCCCTGGCAGGTCCTGGTTGCTCCAACATGTCCCAGTCCTGGACTAAATCTTCCTGGTTAAGATGTGGTTCCCAGCAGGCTTTCCCTCATGTCGCCTTCAATAATTTTCCAGAAGTCCTGGGGACATGAAGGGATGGTCCCACTGCACCCAGGATGTGCCACTGAGCTGGATCTGCTGAGGAGGAGTCTGTCCTCCTTTGGCCTAATCACAAGCAAGAGTTTTTGCTGGGTGCTACTGAGATACCTGTAATAGGGATCCTGTCTCAAAAAGTTCATAAGAGCTAAAAGTGAGGTATCTTTGGTCCTTGTGTTGTGCTGGAAGGAGCTGCACTGAGGTGCTGTGCAGTTCTGTGTGGGTGGTTTCCGAAGCCAGTGGGAGATGCATGTCCCCAGTGGGATAAATCCTGACTGCACTGGGCTGTTCGTGTCTCCACTTGAGCTCCTTGTGCAGTCCCATCTCTTCTCTCACAGTAATAGCAAATTTATTTTTTCTTTTCTATAGAAAAGTCTGATCTTGTTTCAGCTGCCAGACTCCAGATGGTAATTAAGGAGCTGGATGAAAGTCCTGGCTCTTTCCTGTGTTTAATTTTATTGTCAAGGGTTTGGAATAAGTTGTGTGTGTCATGAAACTCGTAATTTCCATGGCTTACAGATTTATCCTGCCAGCATCTCAGACTCTGGCAATAAATGCCCTTGGAAAAGCCAAGAAAAACCCTGAATTGTTACAAGCCTGGGCTGATAGCCCGGATTTTCTTCTGTGTATTCGTTTATTGAAAGTAAAGGATCTGAAATGGTGATTTCCATGCTGAAATAAAACAGTTCAGTGCTCAATACAGACATCTCATTTTCAAATGAAGTTGCCAGCCCTTGAAGTGATTCCTTGGTCTAATTATATGGATTTTCCAGTCTTTGTTAGATATTTCTTTCTTTGGAAGGAAATACCCTCGGTTATTACACAGGTGTAAGATCTATCCATGGATGGCAGTGTGGGAAAAGCTGTCCTGTTCTGGAATACAGAGGGACTGAGGATTCTGGCCGGTGCTCTGGTATGTCCTAAAGCCAGAAAGATTATTCATCCATCTTGACACCAGGGGAAAAAAATTACAGGGCTATTGAAGTGAGCAGGAAATACTTGATGCCAAACTAAAGGGGTGTGAGCACAGCAGAGCATTTCTGAGCACAGCATATCCCTGAGGATCTGCATCTGAGGCAGAGGCACCTCTGCTTCCTTGTGGGGCATCTCCATCCAGCTTGTGAAGCTGGGCTGGGCTCACAGGCTGCTGCATCCCTTGGGGCCTCAGGGGAGGTGGGCTCAGCTGCCAGCACTGCCTCCCGTGCCCTCTGGGCTTGGCAAAGCAGGCAGTTGTCCCTCTTTGTGGCTGCCTGGGGATGGATGCAGAGGGGTCCTGGGTCTGACTGGGGCAGTGCAGTTTGTCCCCCCAGGACAGCAGGGTCCTGGGGGAGGGAGGGGGCTGTGAGCACCAGTGATGTGAGAGGGCTGAGCTGGGCAGTGGGAACAGGCTGACAGGTCCCATGTCCAGGAGGAGCCCATAAATAAGGAATGTGCTGCAAGAGCCAAGTGGGGCACAGCCTGCGTGGCCCAAGAGGCTACAAAAGGCTGGAAAGCTGGAAGTGGGCAGAGCTGGGCATGGCACCCTGGTGAGCATCCAGGCAGGAATCCGACCTGCACTGTTGCACGCTCGGGCAGAGGGCCCAGTCCTCTGCCTGGTTTTCATTTATTTGAGAGGAGGATTCTGAAATATGGCCAAGAACAGCTGCAATAAAAGCAGTTAAATGATGATTTAAAACAAAAATTCCTAATCCTTCTTTCCCAGTTGAATGACGTGAAGCCTTGAGCTCATCCTGGAAATCTCCTTCCCTTGCATCACTCATCACCCCTCCAGCACTTGGCACTTCTGTTCAGGGCCAAGGTGGGAAAAAGTCTCTGGATGCTGTCCTCGAATTCAGTCGAGAATGGTGATTCTGGCACGTTGCTTTGTGCCTTGAAGAGCAGTTATTTGACCCACCCAGCCTGGGGACAAGCAGCTGTGACAGTGAGGTGAGCTGAAAATGGGGTTACACCAAGCCAGGGGGTCCCAAACTGGCCCCACGCTCTGCTGGCCACTCCCAGCCTGGCTCATGGGCACATCCACCCCACAGGCACACCCTGGCTGCCCCTGGTCAGCTCTGCCCAGCTCCACCTGGAGTGTTCTGGCTCCCTCCTGACCTGGAGCTGCCCCTGGTGGGTTTGGGCTGGGCAGCAGAGGGGCCATGCACTGTGTGGCCATGCAGGATGTGGGGCTGGGCCTGCTGGTGGAGGTGTCTCACCTGCTTCTCCCTAAAGTGATCTAAAGAACACATGTAGGATCCAGCAGTGATGGGTTTGAGGAGATTTTTTTTGTAATCATCAGGGAAGCTTGTAAAATTCTGGTTGGTGGGGATGCTCTGGGGCAATGCTTCAGGTTTGGGGTGTTTGTTTTCATTTCATGTGGGTTGAATGCTTTTCATGAGAACAAAGCCCTGTGGTAACACCCAGGGCTGGATACTGAGACCTGCCTGGGCTCTGGCCTGCAAGGGGAGAGGTCTGAGTACATGTCTCCCTCCTGCCTTGTTTCCAGTAGTTTTTCCATCCTCATTCTGTCACACCAGGTTCTGTCACACACTGGGACAGTGCCACAGTGGCAGCACTGTGCCATCACTGCTGCTCTTACTTGCTGTTGCAGCACCTGGAGGCAAAAGCTCTGTTGGGTCAAATGCTGCAGAAGCAGGTAACAAAAATGCAGGCCCTGCTCCAAAGACAATTTCTAACTTCCCTGTCAGAGCTGCTTTTCAGACTTTTTTTGTTTTTCCAGGCCAGAGCAAACGAATGGATGAAATCCATGCTGTTACAGGACAGGGTGCCCTATTTATCTGCTTGCCCCAGTCCTTAAATACGTGGTTTGCTCAGCTTCCCAGCCTGCTGGACCCATTTTATTGCAGTCTCTCCTGCTGGCACTGCCAGCCCTGCCCTCACAGTGCCAGTCACAGTCAGGTAACCCCCTGCAAACGGCCACTGCCATCACCTCCTCTTACTCTCCACCCCACTTTTATGGAGTGTACAAATTTAAATGCAGAGGAACTGCAGAGCTGCTGTGGGAAGGCAGCAGTTGGGTGCTGAGATGTCTGTTTTCACATACAGGGGTCCCAGGAAGGAACTTGCAGGGTCTCCAGTGTGGTACCCTGGCAGAAGGAGGTTGGGATCCTGCTGGCCCTGGGCAGAACTGGCTCCTGCATGACAGTCCCCAGGACCTCTGGGCAGTGCTGCTCCTGCCACCCTGCTGACCCGGGGTAAGTCCTGGCGTACACGTGGCACACTTTGGGGGCTGCAGCTCTGCTGGACTTAAGCAGTGCCTGATGTTTTGTGGCCCTTTCAGGGCAGGATGAGCCATTGTGGCAGTGCCTGGGCAGGATGAGCTGCTGCCCAGCAAACAGGGAAAACTCTGGCTCCTCCTGAGCACCACAGCTCTAACACTGCTCAGCTGCCTGCAAGGTAGGAGAAGGTAACACAATCCCCTTCTGCAGGCTCAGCAGCCTCGAGAGGTGTCTCCCTAAGTTCAGATGCAGTCTGGTGTGCTGGTAGCCTGATTTTCAGAATTACAGAGCGCTCAGCTCACAGCTGAGTGCTCTGGGGAGATGGGCCCCTCCTGAGCAGCCAAGCACAGGGTGAGGAACCTGCCCTCTCTCTGCCAAACATTCATTTTTCTTGGCCCCAGGAGGAGAATAAAGCCTTGCAGGCTTGTGAAGGGGTAAGAAACAGTCCCACTGAAACAACCACCTTCCTTTCCCAGCCCTCCCCAGGCTGTCGCATTCGCTGCCTCTTCAGCTCACAGACCCTCTTCTGATCTGATAAATAATTTGCCTGACGTGCCCCAAGCCCCAGCAATCACAGTGCACTAGCATGGATGTATTATTACACCCAGAACAAATGGGAGAGGGAGCATGGGCTGGTGAACCCCTCTAATCTCAATAATTTTATCAGAATCTGCCCAAAAGCTATTTAAAAATGTGATCAGTGACTGCCCATTTCACAGGGATTGAATTGTTTTCTTTCTGTCTTTGTGACACTCGAGAGGTTGGAAATTCCTGTGTTTTGCTCAAACATGGGAAAGATTGGTGTCCTTTTACTGATGAGGAATGGCTTGTAAATGTAATGTGCCACCACTGGAACGTGTTATTGCTTGAGAGGAAACCCAGTCTGAGAGCACTGGAGGCACTGTGCAGAGAAACCCCAAGCTTCTGTAAAAACAACTGAAAAGTTCTTTGGAAAGTACAGTGTAAAGCAGATGTATGGGGCTGGAGGCTGCGTGTTCAGAGCCTCAGCCGACCCTGCCGCGTGTTACCCGGCACGGCTGCGGCTGCTGCACGTACAACATGGCAAGAGCTGCAAGGCAACCAAAAAGAGAGCCGCAGGCTGGAGGCAAAGGGAGGCAGCGAGGGCAGTCTGCATGAGGGCAGTCTGCATGAGGGCAGTCTGCATGAGGGCAGTCTGCATGAGGGCAGTAGCTGCATGAGGCAGTCTGCATGAGGGAGTTTCTGCTAATTGGAGGGCAGTCAGCAGTCCCCGCTCGCTGCACAGCTCCCCAGCCCACCCGATGGAAACACAAGATACTCAATTAGCCCAGTTCACAGCGCCGATCCGTCACCCGCCGAAGTAGCTTGTACCGTACGCAGCGCCTGCCAGGGCGGCAATCTGGCGAGCGTCAAGTGCGGGCATCCCGCGCCACTCAGCGCAGCCCAGGGAGCCTCCGGGAGCCGTCGAGCGGAGCCGGGGAGGAGGCCGGGAGCGCCTACTCTGTTCCGCTCGGGCGTTCTGGGGCGCGTCCCGAATCGCCCCCGCCCGCCGGAGCCGGGCGCGCTGTGCCGGGGCCGCTCCCGGCAGCCGCCTTCCAGAGCCTCCCGCGCTCGGTGCCGGCAGCGAGGGAGGAGCAGCGGCCCGGCAGGAATCGCCGGCCCAGGAAGGAGCAGCGAGCCCCGCGCAGGATCAGCGGCCCCAGGAGGAGCAGCGGACCCCGGGCAGGATCAGCGGCCCCGCAGGCAGGATCAGCGCCCGGAGCGGCATCAAGCGGCCCCGGGCAGATAGCGGCCCGGAGAGGAGCAGCGGAGGCCCCGGGCGGGAATCAGCGGCCCCGCGGCAGGAATCAGCGGCCCGGGCGGAAGTAGGGCCCGTCCAGAGCGAGAACACGTTGATGGCGAGCAGGGGCGGCCGGCGGGGGCTGTCGGGCTGCGGCTCCGTTCCCGTCCTCAGCCCCGACAGAAGGTACCGGCGCTTTTTTTTTTTTTCCCCGTAACTTTTTTTTTCCAATAGGAAACGCGCTATTTTTATTTTTTTTTTCTGACTTTCTTCTTTTCGTTCTGCAGTTTGGGGTTTCTTGTTTGTTTATTTTCTAATCCCCTTGTGAGTATTTACCTCTGCAAAGAGTCAAACTGAAAAACTGAGGTTGGGTCCAGCTCAGAAGTAAAACCCAGTTGGGGGTTGGTTGCTGTTTTTCCTAGTAGGGAAATAATGGGAGGGAGTGAGAGCTGAGCAGTACAGAGGCTGAAGACAGATTCGAGGGTCCCTCCCAAAACACTGAAAAAAACCCAAACCCCACCTGTTTTTGTTTTTTTTTTTTTTGTTTTTTTTTTTTTCCATTTAATTTGAAATAGTTCAAACCAAACCATTTTTATTTAGAGCCAAATCTAAATTGCCATCACTACTCATCTGCCAGCTGAGTGCAGCCATAGCACTTCCAATCTCTGTGGCTGTTTCTTTGTCTCTGCAGTATAAACAATGACCCTCATTCCTCTAACAGAGGCCAAGCATCTGGAGAGTGCCCAGACCACGGCCTCTTTAGAAAGCAAAGTTTTTTGTGTACAGTGAACTTTTCATAAGGGCAGGTTTTGATTTACTCTGTTGTTTTCACAAACAACCGACTGTTTTTTAAACATAATGTAAAAATCTCTTTTTGTCAGCATCTGTGCTTTTTTGAGGTATTTTTGATTTCAGCTCCAACGTTTTGCTTTACTGAACACAGTGTCACAGGGAAGGGCGGGTTCCTGGTGAGACCCCCTCGGGCCCTGCAGGCTGGGAAAGCCCTTTGGTGGTGATCAGCAGCTGGACCTCAGCGGCTCCCTGAGCTGCTCAGCTCATCAGAAACCTCGGCCAGAGATGTTGTTCAGAGTCACACTTTCCCTGTGCCAGCCCAAGGTACCTCTATCCTTTTTCTTTGCAGCAGCAGCCCCAGGGTATCTTTCATCCCTCCTTGAGATTTAAGTGATTCAGGGTGAAATACAGCTCTGCTTGAGTTCATGGCAAAAGGAATTTCCCTGGATTCAGCTGTCAGGTCAGCCAGTGGCTTCCTGTGTAAAGCTGCTGGAGATTCCAGGTCCAGGCTCCCCACCTAGGGAGCAGGCAGCCCTGTGGCAAAGCTCAGTACCAGCGAGGCACTTGGCTTTGCAGTGGGGCCGTGGCCTCAGAGGAGCCCCAGGTACCTCAGCAGCACTGAAAGAAGCACAGGGAGCTCTGCCAGGTACCAGGGCTGGGAGAAACCTCCCCTTCTGGCCATGGTTGCTAAGAACAGGCTCATCAGAGCAGTAACTGGAAGCTGAACAAACAGGGTGGCTTGGCTTGGTTTTGGCCTGCAGCCAGAGCCATCCCCTTGCAGGTGGGGCACCCTTGGGGTGTCAGGAGGAACATCTGACTTTGGGCAGGACCCTGCTGTGCATCCAGAGCCTCAGGCTGGATGTTCCTCCGAGAGCTGGGGATTGCCAGCATGGCCAGAACTGCAGTGAACCCCCTTCTTCCTCCTGCTCTGAGTGTTCAGTGAAAGTCTCTGAGGCATTTGTCATCAAAAGTATGTATTTATTTATAAAAAAGAATAGAGAAAAAATATACCAGTGTTTTTTTTCTATAAAAGACAATTCCTTGGAGGTTAAATGTCCTAGACCCAAGGATACATGGCATTGCAGTCCATAGCTGTAGATGGCTGATCCAGATCTGATGCTGAATATCATGGGAATTTGGAATTAGAAGATTTGCAAGTGATTTTCCACTAAGAGACTTCAACCACACATCTCCTGCAGGTTTCAGTTAGAGATGTATGGCCAGATCCCTTCAGTGACTAAAATTCAATCCACGGAAGACAATAATATATAATTTTTGACTCTAGGCTTTAAATTGCTTCACTGTCTGAGTCCATCTCCATACAAACAACAAGGGCAGACCTTGCCTGGTGTAAAGCCAAGGATCTCACCAGTGTCCTGCACACACTCCAGTGTGTGGGTTACTCTCACAAAACCCTCTTGACTCCTGTTCTAGTTCCTCCTCAGTTCAAGGTGTACAATACCAGGGGTTCATGGCTACACCAGCATTTTCAGTTAGACTAAATCATCGATGTAAGTGAATTTAAGTGAGGCTCCTCATTGCTGTGCATACTTGCTTTTGGTTTCAAAGTGCCAGGGTGTGACTTGGAGGTGGCTCCCTTTGGAACTGCAGGTGGGAGGTGACACAGTGACCCAGGACAACTTCTCAGTGCCAAACCCAGGTTTGAAATGAATGGGAAATAAAGAGGTATTTTCCTCTGAGACAATTTCATATCAGGGTATCCTGACAGGTTTGCCTCTATCAGATGCTTCATGTCGAAGTATATCTGGTGAGCATTTAACTTTCACTCTCTTCTTTATTATCATCTGTTTGAGCACTGTAGCTCAGCTATGCCAAAACAAATCATTCAAATTCTCCTTTGGATGGATCTTTTATTCCTTCTGGCAGACTGAAAGGAGCCTGCTTCAAATCTGAAACATGGTTAAAACTACAAAAACAATCTGCACCACAAAAAAAAAAGCCCTCTTGGATCCCTTCCTCTAAGCACATTTTGGGCTGGTTTTTTTCTGGTTTATATTTTATCTATTTCAGGTCTTATATGCAACTGATCAGCACCTTTATTTGCTTTTAATATTGTGTTTGATTCTAAAACACCACCACCACCCCAAAAATATCTTTTTTTTCCCCAGTGCCAGCTGTGTCACCAAGTGTCCCCAACATCTCGCTCTCTGCACTTCACTCACTGCATTGCTGCCCAAGGTAAGGACATGCCCCCCATTTCTTCAACAGTCTCTGCTAAGGGTTTTTCCTTTGTGAGTGCTTCTCCCTTCCCTGTGTGATAAGAGTTCCCTTGTGTTTGCACAGTGGTGTAAAACCGCTGGAAGATCTTCTGGGTAAAGCAGAAGTAAACTCAGAGTGGAGCTCCAGCCAAATGCCACACCAAGGCAAATGACATCCTGCCCTCACCATCCAACTCACCATCCAACTTTCATTCTAAGGCCTCTGGGAAAGTTGTTTCTATCTATTCCTGTGCCAGATAATACTAACAAAAGCTACTCTTTCAGCAGGAAGGAGTCCACTTGAGACCAGAACTGAAGTTTTCATTGCACCTGATGCTGATGACTGATCATGGAAAAGCAGGTATGAAACAGCCACTGCTATGGTTCTAAAACATGCAATGCACTTAATTCCACCATGGAATATCCCTGGAAAACCCTTTTCCTGCAAGTCTCTGCAATGAAGGCACCTGTGAATGCTCTTAAAGATGATGATATTCCACAAAGGTTGCCAGAGGCTCCAGCACTTAATGGCACTTTTGAGAGGGAATGTGTGAGTAAGAGGCACTACCCATGCCAGTGCTGGCAGAGAGGGACAGTGCACAGTGCCTGCAGTCAGGAGAAAGCATTCAGGCTTAGTGCTCTGTAAAACAGTAATGGCTGCAAAGAAGTTTTCTGGACTTGAAGGAGATGCTGAATAATACAACTTTCTCATTTTAAGCATTAACAGGTACTACAAAAACTAGTAATTCTCACTACTCAGAGGCTGCCTTATGTGAAAGTTGTGTACATGAATACCTAGTCTGAGAGCTTAGAAAAACTTATTACAAATAAGACAGCAGGCTATGCATATGACCTTGTCTTCTTTAAAAAATCATTTCTGCAAAATCAAGAGCAAACCCTCTTGCTGTTGAAGTAATTTCCCAGTTTCTGATTTTTAAAATTTTTTGAAATACCATTTGTCAGATAGGTTGTTGCCAAACAGAGTTCCCCAGTTGGGATCTGGCAGGAAAGCTAAATGCTTTGAGGCATGGTTCCACAGCAGCCTAAATTAACTAAGGTCAGCATCACTGTGCTGGTCCCAAAAGCAAAACTGTCACAGAGGTAATTGCTGCATTTTGGGAAGAGCACTGGTATTAGTGGAAGGGAGAAGGTAGGATGTGGAGCAGGAGTGGAGGAGATGAGACTGCAGTGGCACTGACAAAAGCCACAGTCTTTGCAGAGATGGTGCCTGCATAAAGTCCTGCTTCCTTTGAAGCTAAGGGCAAGAGGGAAGCAGATACACCCTGAAAACATCTTCCCCATCCTTAACCCCCACCATCCCCTTCTTGATTGTGTATGGAACCTTGGGGGTTCAAAATCTGCAGAGAACAAGTGAAGTTTCTCAGGCTTATACTGAGGGATGTGATGCTCATCTCACCTGAGGCATGTGGATCCCACCTGGGTAGAAGCTGGACATCTAAATCCTGCTCAGCCAGGTCTCCACTTTAGCAGAAGCTGAGGGAGCAGCTCCAGCCCCAGGAGCTCAGGTCTGGGCCCACACCTGAACCTGAGGTTGCATTCCTTCTTACTGAGTTACAGCTTTGACTCCAGGGAAGGATTAAGATGTGAGATGTGGTTTAAAAGGCCATCAGGGCCTGACTGGAAGCTGGTCCTACCATGACTACCAGCAGCCTGATAGTCACCCATGCACACAGGCTTTATGTGTGCAGCCAGAGCCACCCTCTGCAGCTGGAACAGCTTCCACAGCCCACTGGCTATTCCCACAAGTGGGAAGGGCAAAAAGAGATAGGTTTTTACTAATCCTTTTCAATTAATTCTATCAGGAAAGCCTTGGGAATATGTCAAAGGTAATCCAGCTGCTGTTGTGCCTCACAGGACCCGTGTCATGCTGGACACTTGTTGCTCTGTGCTTTGTTATGGGCAGAGGTGTAGCCTGCTCTGTTCAGTCTGCTCAGCCACACCAGGGGACACTCAGCTTCTCCCACGGGAACTGAGAGCAGGAGTCAGCCCTGGGGTTTGGGAGATTTGTCTCTTCAGCCACTTTTACCCTAAAAATCAGTGCAGGTAAATCCAGGTGCAGCAGCTGCTGCTCAGGGAAAGGCTCTGTGCAGATCCCGTGGGATGTGGGGTGTGAGCTGCCCCTCCAGAGAGCTCAGCAGGCCCAGGGTGGGAGGGTGAGAAGGGAGTGAAGGCAGGAGCAGCCCCTGGCCAGGGGGTTGCTCAGCTCTGTGGGGTCAGGATGGCCCTCCCTGCTGGGACACACCTTGGAGCAGCAGCTCCAACCCACGATGGTCACTCACTGACCAGGGGACTGCTCTCCACAGCTGAGGCTCCCTCAGCTGCCAGGCAGGAGCTGAGCACGATGTGCTCAATGTATCACTGTCCACCACAGACCAGGGGAAGCTGAGAATCGTTGTATGAATTTGAGTTTGTCCACACTGCTTGTTCAGTGCCTGGAATTTGTTCCACAGCAGCAGTCTTGTGCCCTGTGGAAGATTATGGCTGTTCCAGCTGGAAGGGAAACCTTCAGGTGGTGAGTGTGGGAAGGAGCTATAACAGAGCAGGGCAGGACAGATGCACTTGCCACAGATATTTTTCAAACAGAAAAGGAAAATAATATAAAATAGACTTTTCCTTAATTTCCCCTCTGTCTTTCCTTGATGTCATGCCTGAGGGCATAAATGTCTTCAATATAAAAAATATATTGCAGCTCCCCAGGTGATGGCCCTGAGACACAGCCTGAGAAGCAGTGGCATTGTCTGCTTCCCAGAAAAATTCTCTGAGATTCCTTGCTCGCTTTTCTCCTCTCCCCCACTCTCCCCTAGGGCTCTCTGTCTGGCTGCTTCCCTGTGACAGTCCTGAAGGAAGCTACCTTCCCTTCCCTCAGTCCTGAAGGAAGTCAGGCTGGAAGCCTCTCTCACCAGTTCACAGGAAGATAGTGCTGACTTCTGGAAACACAACGAAATAGGGAAGGTAAGAGGTCCATGCTGGCTTCTGTGAGCACAGAGCCTCTCCCCTGGACATTCCAACCTAGATGGAAACCTGTGGTGATTTTCAGGGCTTCACATTCCCAGAAACTGGCAGCAGTTTCACACAGTAGCTAAAGCAGGAAAGCCCTTAGCAGTGGCACTGCCCTTCGGGCTCTAGGAGCAGTCCTCGTTGGAGTGGAGGCCCAGGAGCTCCTCAGCCAAGCTGATGAGACCGTTTTCTTCCAGGGCTGTGATCAGCCGTGCTATTGTGGCCTTCTTGCCCTCTGACTGGATGAACTTGAGGAGCAGCTGATAGGCCTGTTCATAGAGTCCCTCCCGCTCGTACTCCAGGGCCAGGTTGTCAATGACAGGATCACGCAGGGCCCGGCAGCTCTTCTGCAAAGAGCGACCCACCTGCTTCCACTTCTTGGACACGAGCTTGGCAAATTTCTGGTGGTCATCCAGGGTGATTGTTCTGTTGTCTGAAAGGGACAGAGGGCAGGTAAACACAGAGCTTTCCTGGCTGATGTGATGCAGCTTGGGCCGGTCCAAGGTTTGGTCAGTGTTCTGTGGAGCAGGGAAGCTGTTCAGTGTCCACAGCACGTTATTACACTGCTGTGAAGCTGCTCTGCCTGTCCTCTGGTGTCTCAGCACTCTGAGGTTGGGGCAGTGAAGTAAAAAGGACTGTCCTGCTGGGAGCAGTTCCCCCACCACTGGAAAGGGAAATCCAGCAGGAGTTAAGCAGCTGGTGTACTGCAAGGAGCCTGGACAAATCAGTCCTGTCTAAAAGCAGGGCTGAGGGTGTCCATAGTAATCTCCACAGTCTAATCCAACCTATGCTATTAACTCACCTCAGCCAGTGACATGGACATATTCTTCCTTTCAGTATCAATTTTAAAATGTGGGGAACCTGGAAGGGACACAGACTCTGAAGCATCTGGTTTTGTGCCACCCCAGAAAAGAAAACAGGTTGAGGCCTGATCTGAAGCACTATGACAATATTTTAGGACCATTATAATTCCTTCCTTATGGGATGCTGGGAAATCCTTGATTTATCTGAGGTAGACCCCCAATGTGCAGTCATGCTAATCCTCCCTCAGGCTGTGAGGCAAGGAAGACCAAGGGTTCTCTTGGTTAGTTCTAACTACTCACCAAACTGCTGTCCCTGAAAGATGAAGGTGCCTGGTGGGGGAAGGGAGCTGCCTGGAGAAGAATAAGGCAGAGATGGGGACTTGAGAGGTGCACAGTCTTTTATAGCCACGTTGTTGGTGGTGCTCTGGTGGACAGTCAGGCCCTTGAGGTGTTCCTCCAGCTCCGTGAGCTCCTCATCGCGCAGGCGGTCAGGCTGCAATGCAGACACCGTCAGGGACTCCTGCCAGGGGCACCCTCTTGCAAAGCTCTGGGTACTTAGCTAGAAGGTGCAGCTTAAGATGATGGTGTCAAGAGGGGAGTGATGAGAGAGCCACAGCATGAGTTGTAAGCCAGCTAAATGAGACAGTCTGATGGGGCTCTGGCTGTTAATGTGTGAATTTGAGTCTGTAATGTGATATGACACAGACCATCTCCCCTCCTGGGTTTCTCCTGTGCAGTGCTTACAAGTTGCACAAAACTGCTTATTTTCAATAGCCTTCTGCAAGAATTAGGGTGCACTATAGGCAGCAAGGCTCCTCCAAACTCCACGAGGGTCAGACCCACAGAACAGGGTGGCTCATGGCCACCAAAGCAGGCAGCTCCTGCTTCTGTCTCTGTCCCTCTGTTCCCTAAGGTTTGTTGTTCCTGGGTCCTTGCCAAGCCAGTTTTTCTCACTAACCAAGGGAAAACTAGTCTGACCTCCAAAAAGCAGGTAATGGGGAAAGGAGTAACGAAGACAAAGCACATGGGAAGAGTCAAACCTGGTGAGTACTCTGACTCAGTCAGAGCTAACCACTAGTTCATCATGTGCAGCAGGTCCCAGCACTGCCCTCAGCTGCTGACAGCTGGGCCCCACTGCCATCTTTCTGACTGTGGCCTGTTAGGTGGGGTCAGACTGAGACAGACACTTTTGGGGAACTGAGAATAAGCCCATCTCTTTTGTCCAGTCAGCTAGTTCAGCAGAGAGAGGGACCAGCAAGCCAAAGCTGACAGGGTATGGGATAACACATGTTGTTTGGTCCAGGGATCAAAGGTTTGAGTCTCATTCTCTGCTTGCAGAGAAGCAACCTGGCAAAACTTGCTCGTGTGCTTATCTTCCTGAATACATGGTGACTACCTATTTCTCAGGACCTTCTAGAGGAGCCAGAGCTATAGTTCCAGATGGAAAAAAAGGAAGGTGATGAGTTTAATCATGTCAGGTGCCTTGCTTTTGTGGTGAGATGACACGATCTCACAGTTCTTGCAGGCAGGACTAGAGTGCCAGTGCCCAAGTGTGTGATGTGGGCTCTGAGAGATGTTGCCCTCAGCAGGGCAGGCAGCTGTGCTGGCAGCAGGTGCTGTGTGTCCCCACTCTGTCACAGGGGGTTGGTGTGACATGCCCAGTGTTTGCACTCACACTCATTTCTAGGTGCAGTTGCTGCTCTGGGAGCAGGGGGTGTGAGAGGCAGGGCAGGAAGGTGCTGAGCAGTGCTGGTTCCACACAGGACCGCTGTCCTCTGTGCCCCCTCACAGCTGTACCAGGCACAGCTGTGCTCTCAGCTGCACCCTCTAGCATTCCTCATCTTAGTGGGGATAACACCATGCTGTTACACACAGGAGCCACGGGGATTCAGCAGGATCTCTGTAGGATGTTTTAGGGAATGCTACTGCCCTTCTGCAAAAGTGCACGGCTCTTTTCTGGGGAAGGGCAGAGCTGTTTCTCCACACTACAGCTGAGAGCTAAAGGAAGAAGTTTGTCAACCCAACATGCTGCATCAGAACAATATCTGCAGCCATCTTCACGAGCCCTGTGCCACCACTCCTCATTGCTGCCTGCCCTCCCTCCCCTCCCATTCACCTTTTCTCTGTAGATGCACTCCAGGCAACGATCCTCATCCTTCAGCATGTTGTCAAGGTGCTCACTGCCAGTCTTCAGCTCCATTTCCAGAGGCACTGTGGTCATGGCCAAGGAGAGCTGGAGGTGATTCTGGAGGGCCTTCTGGAGCGCTCCGTCGCGGTAACTGCGCAGGAAGCGGCGGCAGTTCTCCTGCCGGCAGAACTTGAGCTGCACTATCAGCTGGGGGTGGCTGCAGTGCACCTTCAGCATGTCCACACCATTCATGCTGCCCGTGGAGTCTGGCAGGGAGAAGTGAGCAGAGTCACTATCCAGGCATGAGACAGCCCACCCACCATTCCCATCCACCACCAAGCCTGCAATGGAGCAGCTTTTGAATTCTCTTTGTGACAAAGTTCTCTGGGATGAAAACCCTGCACGTAAAACCAAGAGGGAAGGATTAAGTTCTCGCTGCCACCATGGATCTCCATGAAGTATGGTGTCCAACTGAAGAGGTATGGAACTACATCCCAGGTAATTGTATCAACACTGTTTATTAGGGGAAGTTTTAAATTTGAGGTTCCATTTCCAGGGCTGAGATGGTTACATTAAATTGGTAGCACAGGAAAGTTTTACAGATGAAAGCTCAGTTCAGCTCAGTGCTCACTCAGTCTTCAGCCTTTCTTCCCCAGGCTGAACAGGTCCAACTCCCTCAGCCTCTCCTCACAGGGTGAACCTCTGCTGAACTTACTCCACTTTGTTGTCTTTCCTAAACAGTGAGGACAAGCTTTCCCTGCCCATGAGTGTGAGATCAGAGAAAGGCGTGGCACTGTGTGAAGAGAGGAGGCAGCACACCGAGAGATGAGAGAGAACAGATACCTGCTAATGCCAGCTTCAGTGCCCTGAACACACCGGGCTTCTCCTGGGAGCTCTCGTAGAGGGACGGCAGGACGACGGTCTTGCTCGTCGACTGGAGGAACAGGTAAGCACTGCCAATCCAGGGACTGGAGCTGCCTGCCATCTTCAGCACCCTACAAAATCACACAGCCAGCTGAGAGACCATAGGGAAAATGGCCTGATGCCAGGGGAGTGCTTACAGCAAACACTGAGCCACAAGCATGACGGAATTATGGGGATTTACCCTTATTTCTTAGAGCAGTGCTGATGTTGTTAAAGCAAGTGTAACCTTTGAGGAGTTTACTGTTACTCTGCAAAGCACAGCACAGTAGGGACATGGTGTCCCAAAACCAGCAGCTCACAAAGCTTTGCTTTCATTTTCCACTGGAGTCCATTCATTTCATAGTCCAAATATGCTACAAAGCAAAGAGTTTCAGTCCTCATGCCTCTGGCTGACCAGCCAAGCTGACAAACCCTGAAGATGCACAGTTGAGGTGCTCCAGGAGTCCTGGTTCTGGCACTTTCCCATGGACTGAAGCCCTGCTGCTGGCAGAGGCATTCTGCCTGAGGTCCCAGTCCCCTGGTTGTCTTCAGTAAAGGATATGTTACAGAGCCCAGAGCTCTTGTAGCAGAACACTCCACACAAATAGGACAACGGGTAATGGTTTTAAACTAAAAGATGGCAGATTTAGACTAGATATCAGGAAGAAATTTTTTACAATGAGGGTGGTGAAACACTGGCAAAGGTTGCCCAGAGGGGTAGTTGGTGCCCCATTCCTGAAAATATTCAAGGTCAGGTGTGACAGGGCTCTGAGCAACCTGGTCAAGTTGAAGATGTCCCTGCCCACCACGGAGGGGCTGGACTATGCCTTGGACGGTCCCTCCCAACCCCAACCATTCTGTGGTTCTGTGACTCGGGACTACTCCTCTGCTTTGCTTGTGCCCTTTGCTGTCGTGCCCCTGCAGTGTTATCCCAGCAGGTGAACTGTGCAGCCCCGTGAGCGCTGCCCCCCCAGTCCCCCCTCCGCACCCTCGTGCTGTCGGAACACCAGCCCCGGCTGACAGTCTCGTTTGTGCCCATGGCTGTTGCCCTTCTCGCCGACTCCCGGCAGGCTCGGGCGCGCCCGCTCCCTGCACCGCCCCCGGCCTCGGCGCCGCGGGCTGCCCCGGGGAAGCGTGCTGGAAGCAGCGCTGCCCTCGGCGGTGCGCCCGCGGCCCCGGTGCCCCGGCGTGTGCCCCCGGTGGGCCCCGCGAGTGTTGCCCTGGTGTGCCCCGCGTGTGCCCCAGCCCCTCCGGGCCGCGCCTGGCTCCTGCCCGGCCTGCGGAACCCGCCCGGCCCCCGGCCCGGCCGGCCCCGCCGCGAGCCCCGGGCTGGCGTTACTCGTCCGCGCTCGCCTTCGGGCCCGGACTTTCGCCCAGCGGCACCGCCCGCACGGGCCCGGCTGAGGGAGGGGCAATGGCCCGGCCCGGTACAGCCCGCGGCAGCCGCGCCGGCCCCTTCAGCTCCTGCTGGCCCGGCCGCCCTGCCGGTGTCCTTCCCGCAGGGCCGCACACCCGGCCCGCGGTTGCTCGGCTCTCGTGTTGGAGTGAGGTTGACACTGGTTCGGAAATGCCTGCCGCTCGTGGCCGCAGAGCCGCCCAACGGCTGCGCCCGCGAGGGCTGTCCCGGGCCGTCGGGTCGGAGGCGGGGGGTCCATGGGAGCCCTGCGGACACACGCGGGGCTGGGCCCGGCTGGCACCGCTCCGCTGCCCCCGCGGTGCTGCTGAGGAGAGCTCCGGCAGGCAGAGAGGATAGACCAGCTTCTCCCGAGTCCATGAGAGGGCCGGTGCCAAGCAAAGCAAGATTTGGGTCTGCATCACTGAACCTCAGGTCACAGCCTCCTGCCCAGGCTGCGTTCACCTTGCACAGGTGTCCTGTGAGCAGAGGGGTAACTGCAGCCCCCGGTCTGTCCCCAGCTGGCAAGAAGCTGGCATGGACCTGGGGCCGGATTTTGTGCAAGCTGCCATCGTCCCTCTGGCTTGGCAGTGATTTGTGCAAACTCCCTGGGGACCTAACTTCAAACAAAAGCAGGAAGCATTATAAAGGATTAAAAATACCTATGCATCTGATGCTATTTTACAATAGTAGTATTTTAACAATACAAACTTAATTTTTTTGCCAAAGGGAAAATGTGATTGAAATAGCTCTGGGAAGGGGTTAATCTAGGCTGGCTCTGCTGGGTGCTCTGGTTTACAAGCGGCAGAACAGCACCCACAGACCCTGTCAGGGTCAGCAGGCCTGGCAGTGCCAGTGCTCCTGGAAGCCAGGCATCCCGTGGGGTGGGATAATGAGCACTTAGAGTTTTATCCTGTTGTTTCCCACTTGGGAAGTAAAGTTGGCCCAAGCCTGCTGTCCTCACTGGGGTGGGCTCTGAAGGGGGGCCCAGGCCAGCCTGCAGTGCTCAGAGACCATGAACCCTGTTTCAGGCTGACCCAATCCCATTCAACTGCTTTAACACTATTAACTTTGCCCTTCTGCCTCCCTTCCTGTGCTCAGACCATACTCTTCAGCTTTTCCAAGCAACCACCACAGCTAAAAATGCACTCTTGCTGTCTAAGAGATTCAGGATCCTTCTTAATGGCTCCAAAGGCTTTAAAGAAATCATAAAATGAAAGGAGCTGAACACGTGAGATCTCACGTAAGGCCTTTGCCTGATTTGACATTTTGGCAAACGTGTATTAGAGAGAGTATTAAAAGCAGCTAAAAGTAAAAAAGCAAGGTCCAAGCAGTCAAGGTGATTGTCAGAGAAAATGATGAGTTCCCAGGAAGGAAGCAGGACGGTGTCACTTGGCTGCTCGAGCCCTGCTGGGTGGAAGGGGGCTGATACGATGGCAGATAAGATAGTAGAGCTGTTGTGCTGCTCACACTCAGAATAACCAGTTATGTTTCAGAGCCTCATATTCTACAAAACTGTGCAGTTGTGTTCCTCTCTGTGTTATGCTTTCTGCCTCACTGCTCCATACTTGCTTCATGGTTTTCTACTCTTTCCCTGCTTTGAGGATCTCTGGGTGCACAGGTTTTCATTTCAGTGAGACCTGTGATGCTGAGATAATGCTGTGACTCTGAGACCTGGGGCTTCCAAAGCAAGAGGGAATGCCATGACTTTCAGAGAAAGAGTAAGAGACTTGGCCCATGCTCCAGTGCTGGTCTAGGAAGGGGAAGGTTTGCTTCTAAAAATCCCTTGTTTGGTCATGAGAAAGCTGAAAAAATATGTCATGGTGGTGGTTTTGTTTGTGCAGAAATCTCAAAGATGGATACAACGCATTTTTGAAGAGGAAGATGGATAAAAAAGGTCTGATGCTCTGAACCTCAGCCTTCTTTCCAGTTGGTTATTCTTCTGCATTGTAGTTCACAGGGAAGGTTGATCAAAATATACTTTTCCCTTTTTATATCAGATGTGTAAATGCAGTTTCTACAAACTGGAGTCACAGTTATAAAACGTTTTTATTTCCAAACTGTAACATCTCATCACAGGCAAGGACCACTGTCATTATGCTGCTGATTTCTACTCTAGGCCTTGTGTTGCACTATCAGTAAAAAATGGATATGTGGGGCTGTTTTCTGTTCAGAGCTTCTGCTTGCAAAGAGGTTTTTTCCCCCACAGTTTGAGAAATCTGTCTCAGCTTTTTGAATACCAGTGCAGCAGTACTAGAAAATTCCCTTGCATTTTTATTACTCAGGGTAGCAAAACCTCACTGTAGGAAAAAAGGCCTTTTTTGCCCCCAAAGCTTTGATCTGGCATCTTTAACTCTTGAAAAGTGTCACTTAGGTTCTTAGGATTGATCAAAGAAAACTGTGTAAAACAACTGGCCAACAGATTTTCCTTGGTTTTTGTGTTCAAATTCGAAATTGGGTGAAATTTCAAGTTTGATTTTTTTTACCTCCTCTGTGGTCCGGCTGCATTGGTTTGATTTGTTAAATAGATCCTAATGTGTGTCTGTGTCTCTTCTGTTTGTCTGCTGCAGTTCCAAAGCTGTGGAGCTGCATCCCAGAAGAACTCCTTGTGCAAACCTTCTGTTCTCTTCTGGAGGTGGATGCCCAGTGCCCCGGGGTGCAGACCATGGGCTGCAGCTGATCCTCCCCACTCTGGTGGCCCCTGCACGGAGCTCAGGTGAGAGCAGTGGGTTTCCATATCCCAGCATCTTTGCAGGAAGAACCAGGTCATTGTTTCCAGTGCACATCAAACCACACACCACTCTGCTATGACATTACTGACACTGTGACTTCTCTGTGTGATGATGTTATCTTGCATGACTGACACCTGCTTATATAATAGAGAAATTTGTGTTTATGCTGAGTTCTTTCAGTTGCTGCTGAGGACTCAGGCTCTAGGGGAAATGTTCCATTCTTAGATACCTTGTTCCAAGTTGCCTTTTGAAAATGGCAAAGAAAAGTTACTGAATTGTTATCCTTATCCTGTGTCTTACTTATCTAATGGGTCCTTCTGGTGACTGATTCTTCTCACCTCCTGACTCCTTTGGTGTTTGGTCTTAAGGAACTCTGCAGGCTTCAGGTGAGAACTCTCTTTCATTTTTTTGCAGGAATGTCAAGCTTAGCCTTTGCAGGTTTTTGCTAAGGACCTCAGGAAAATTTAATTTTGATTTTACATGTTATTATGTTATTTGAAGAGCAGTTTCTGAGTAGAAATGATCCTGGCATTAAGCTACACTGCGAGCATGTATTTAGAGCTACCTAAAGCATTTATATTGATAATAAAAGCATATTAGATTCTATATGTAGCTGTTTTTAGCACCCTCTCTTCTCACCCAAGAGACAGATAATTTCTCTTGACAAATAATATGGGATCTGTGGCCAAACCAGCTTAAAATTTTGACAGCCCTGAGGCCTGGCCAGCCCTTGTTCATCCATGCCAGCCAAAGCTTAGGACAGGAAAATTCCAAAATAACAATCCAGATGCCTTCACAAACCTGGCCCTGCCATGCCTGGGCATCCCTCGGGCCCTGGGCAGGTGGGTTCCCTGCGGTGACTTTGCTCCCCTGCCAGCAGAAGGTGCCCAGCACGTGCCCCCTTTGCATGACGCTGCGTGTTTATTCACCGCGCCGAGATCGGCTGCAGTGCACTTTCATTCTCTGCTTTGTTCTCTGGGCTGGTGATGCCATCGCTTTGTGCTGAGTTTTTAAGAGTGCGAGCAGCACTGCTGATGTGACTCCCTGGACGCCTACTTTCCACTGGCCTGGGATAAAATTGGGTGGCTCGGTCCGTGCGGGAGCAGGCGCGTGCGGGGAGGCAGGCGCGCCACAGCCATGGGGTTAGTGGGGCTGGGGCACTGAGGAGCTATGCAGGATTCCCCCAGCTCTCTGGTGATGGATGGGTACTCCAGCAATGTCCCAGCCTTCCTAACGAAACTCTGGACGCTGGTGGAAGATCCTGAAACAAACCATCTCATCTGCTGGAGTTCTGTGAGTACAGGGAATATGGGGTGTCACTGGCGCCTGCAGCACCAGGGAGAGCCCAAGCAGTGCCTGGCCCAGCAGTGCCTGGCCCAGCAGCTGCCCCTTGCTGTGCAGATGCTGCCCAGCTCACTGGGAGAGTGCAAGGCAGTTCATTTAGGGCCCTTTTAGCTATACTTGCTATTATTTGCCTGCAATATTGTGACTTTTTTTTATTTCAAAGGGACAACAGTTTTGGGAGTGTTTTAATAATAATATTTACACACTTCACTTGAAACATTTTAAAAGGTGTCCAATATTTTCATTCTAAAAATTCCAGACTCTTCGAGAGAGAGGTTTTTCACCTTGTTTGAATCTGCTGCTCCCTAAAATTTTCTAGAGAAGGTGCAAAGACCTTAAAAAACTTTAATGCTGTTTGTATTATTTCACGTGTGTTTTTTAGCAGCCTTTCACAAATGTCTTGGGAGAAGGCAGCAGTAAATAGTATTCAGATCTCAGACTCAAACCTAGAGCTTAAACAGATCTCAGACTGGCACCCTAAATCACTCATTTTGTAAGTGCATTACTTGATTTTTCAATGAGTCTGTGTGATGGTCGTGGTGATGTGTGTATATATTGTCTGTACAGCTTCATAGGGATAGATTGCTTTGCTTTGGCTTCTTATATGTCACTGAGGCATTACTATGCTAAGTGTAATCAGAGAATTAAAATGATTTATTTGTTTCCTTCAGACAGCACTTTGATATCACCACATTGTGCTTTTGACCTGGCTGAGACTTGCTGCAAATAACATGATTTGTTTTCAGTATGGAGTTATCAGATGAGCTGTGTGCATAAACTTGTTCTCCAATGTGAAGAATCTATAACAAAATCAGATGTAAAAGGGAGGGGCAAAAAAAGGTCTAAAGCAGCCTTTCTGTCCTGTGTTTGTGTCCAGTAGACTTCACTCAAAACTTGAGCTAGGATTTGAGCTGCATTGTTGTCTGTGCTTTGATGCTGGTATTACGTGGTCATACCTCTGAGAACCACCAAGTTTTGGTATGGTGTGTTTTAAGTAAGGATTTTCAAACTAGGAATGATTTTCTAACCTGTACAAATAATCCCCTCTCTGTTACACTTAGAACATTGTTATTTTTGACTGACCACCACCATGCCCTGCTTTCCTGCAATCTAACATAGGCTACAACTTCATTCTTGGAGGTTTTGGTAAGGCTCTTAGATGTTTAAACTTCCCATTGTTTCAGGTTCCCATGTTTCCCATATCTTCTATACATCAGTGATGTTGGAGCTGAGAGATTGTGTGCATGCCTAAGATTTCTGGATGTAATCAGAACTTGTAGAAAATAGGACTTATAAGGACCTATGAACTGTTTCTTAGCGTGAAGAAGAGATGGAGAGGAAATGTAGCAATGGTTTATATGCACACTAAAGGCTGTTAGGTGGAAAGGAAAGGTCTGCTCTCTGTGTCTGTGGCAGATAGGACAAGAAGTAATTCAATTAACTCTTTAAATGGAAGATGCAGTTAGGAAGAACTCCTGGCAAATTCCTGGAGTAGCACTTGTCTGGTTAGAGCACCGGGTGTCTGTCATGGTGAGACTGCCAAAAGCAGTTGATAAGTGTCTGCCACGATTGTCACGCTGCAGAGTCAGTTTTGCTTTGGGCAGAGAAGACTTTCAAAGGTTCTCCCACCTTGTGTAAGACAGACAAGGCCCAGCTGCTGTGTGAGAACAAGCTGGCACACAGTTCACAAGTTCGTTGTGAACACACAGTAACTCTGAAGTCTCTTTGCTGTAGGAACCTTTTTGGATGTGCCAGCTTCTGAGAACACTGTGGCCCTGAATTCACAGGAATGACCTCTCAAGAGAGGCCATAATGGGATGCTGAGGTACTGAAAACCCTTGTGCTCTTCATTTTCCATCAGTGGATCCAGCTGGGATGCACAGCTGTATCCTTAACCAACCTTTGGTCCTGCTGCGGGGGGTAAGGAATGACAGGAGAGACGCTCAGAATGGCCCAGTGGCACTGCTGAGGCACAGTCATGGTCGGTGTTTGCAGCAGGGAACAAGGACCAAGAAGTGCAGCTGACCCAAAGTGGTGTGTGGGGGGGTGTTAATTGTCAGAGCTGCCAAATGAGCCCGAGCACAGGGGGAACTGGCACCATCTGGGGATGGAAATGGAGCGGCAGCCAGTCGGGCAGCAGGGTTTGCCAGCTGGCTGTTTCCTGGTGGCCATGGGCAGGCTGCAGGCACTCACCAGCCCTTCTTCAGTCACTGAGCTTTCTCTTGGCCTTGACTCCCTGTTTAGAAGTTTCCAGGCTGCCCTGAGTTCACCTGTGCAGCTACAGACCCTGTAGTGGGGGTGTGGTGGGACCCACACACCACAGGTATCCTCTTCCTGCACACAGAGCCTGAGGGCTCTGATTCAACACTGTCCTCTGTCACAGCCCAGCCCTTTGTGAGAGATCCCCCCGAGCTGACACACCACTGACTGTTGGTACTGACACAGAACTCAGCAGGAGGATGACTCTGGGGTGCTGGGCTCAGACTCCTCCCTGCCAACACTGTGCAGACCTTGGTGTCTTTAGGTAGCTGTCCCTCAAAACTCAGCTGAGCTGGGAGGTCCCTCATATCTGCTGATGTCTTTGCACTGACAGAGCTGGCAGCAGGTAGAAGGCCAGGCAGGGAAAGCACATGGCCTGCAGTGTGTCTCTGACAGCACTCCCAGGCAGTTTGCCTTGGTTTGCAGTCACAGATCTTTGCAGTGCAGCCCCAGACACGGATCCTTTGTCTGGTTAACATGTGTGTTGCTAGTTTGGATGGCAAAGCATGACTGTCAGCTTTTTGTTGGTTGCCCTTGTGGCTGTGTACTTTTAAAAATAATCAAGAAAAGGTGCACAGAGCTTCTGGATTCGTGTGGTGTCTTCAGAGACGATTTGTTTCTTGCCTTGCTGTGTTTCCTGTGCCGTGTCTCCAAGCAGTGCTCCCACTGGGACTGCTGTGCTCTGCAGCAGATGGGTTGGAGTTAGAGCTGAACAAGCAGATTGAGGAGTTATAATGGCAATTCCTACTTTCCAGGCCTTTTTAAGATTCCAGAGTCTTTCTGTGAGGTCCACACAAGGGGGGATGATCACAGACTCCCACCTATTTGGACACAAGTCAGTGGTTTCTTTCTCACATCCACATCTCACAACTTAGCACTGGCAGAGCTTGGTGGGAACAGGTCAAACCTGCAGCTGTAAAGGACTGAGCAGAACTGTACCAGAACTGAAAGGAGCACCCCTGTCACCGAGGGCTGTTGTCACTCTTCTTAGCTTCCAGGTGACAACTCACAACTCAGAGAGAATGACTCCCCTGCTGTAGGACTCCTCCTGGGCCCCTCTCGTGGTCAGGGCTGCTGCTCTGACTTTGCCTTTTCCTTGTCTCCTTTGCAGAATGGCACCAGCTTCCACGTGTTCGACCAAGGACGCTTTGCCAAGGAGGTGCTGCCCAAGTACTTCAAGCACAACAACATGGCCAGCTTTGTGCGGCAGCTGAACATGTGTGAGTGCCAAGGGGCCCTGCAGGCAGGGGGGAGCACAGGAGCTGTGGGTGGGGCAGGAGACATGGGAGAGAGCTGTGGGGGGAGAGATGAGGTCTCACTGACCTTGAATTCCAGCATGAAATTTCTGTTAGATTACATTTTAAGATCTGAGCTAAGAACTTTCAGCCATCAGGTGTTCTGCTTCTCTTGCATCAATTTGATGACCTATTATTATTTATTTTTCACTTTATTCTATGTGGAGCTTTTCCAGCAGCCTGATACTGTGACACCTCCCCAAGGAACTGCTGCTTTTGAGGGTTGTGTGCCCAGAGCTTTTCCATTTCTTCAGCTGTATCCCTGAACTAATAATGGACAACACTTCTCCCTGCAAACCTGGCCTTGCTGATCAGACATTTTCACCCCTTAAAGGAGTTTTAGGTAGTTTTCAGCCACTTCTACACCATGATTGTATTACACACAGCTATTTTCTGGTAGTTCTTGGAATTTTTTCAATGAGTCATTTACAAAGCTCCTCAGTCAAGTTTTAGCTTTGCTATTTCACTGTGCAGTAGCATTATTGTAAATTTTAGGCCAGTCCTTAGATACAGTTTAGAAACCTTTCCAGGATTTCAGAGAAATACTCAAAGCAGATTTCCAAATGTGCATGTGACTCTTTTTTTTCCCTGAAGTGGCACCCAGTGATGGGCTGTGCCTTTGAAAAACCTTCTGAATCCCTTTGGCTTGCAAATTGAACTGGAAATTCCCTAAAAGCTGGCATTTTGGCTCCTGGTTGACCAAGGTGCCCATGGTGGCAAGGTTTTTGTGGCATGGGCTGTCAGCAGGGGTGGCTGTCAGCAGTGGGATGCACAGGGCTCTCCCTCATTTGGGGTTCTTGTGGACATGGCCCCAAAACGTGCCCAGCTGTGGCGAGGGGCACGACTGTGCCCTGAGCACCAGCAGCTCAAGAAGTGTGGAGAGTGACCAGAAATGCCCTCAGAAGCCATGGGTGTGGGAGGCAGAGGGAGCCCCAGGCCTGGTGACCCTTCAGCCTGTCCTCTGTGTGCAGATGGCTTCAGGAAGGTGGTGAACATCGAGCAGGGGGGGCTCGTCAAGCCCGAGCGGGACGACACCGAGTTCCAGCACCTCTGCTTCCTGCAGGGCCACGAGCACCTCCTGGAGCACATCAAGAGGAAGGTGAGGGGTGCTGGGTGGGCAGGGGGAATGTGCTCCTGCTCAGTGGGACTCAGGATCACCCTGTGCTCTTGTTCCTGCCCTCTCCACATACATGTGCAGCTGGGGCAGGGGTTCTTGGTGTGCAGGGCTTGGCTTTCAGCAGAGTTTTGTCTGTGTTTTTTTGCTCTGTTGCTCAGTATCACAAGACTTTCACATAGTGCTGCATGGCCAGGCTTACTTCCCACCCCTCTGCCTTTGAATTGTTACCCACTTTCCTAGAGAAATACAGCATAACTCCTTCATGGACCCCAACAGCCATCTCCTTTTCTTACAGAAGAGAGAGCCTACTCCTGCCCTCTGTTTTCTGTCTTTTAACCTGTTATAAATGCTCCAAAAGGGCTGTTCTCTTACTGAATTAGCATAGGAACTTCAGGAAAGAGACTTCAGCAAAAGCCTTTAGTTTAATATGTCAGTTTGAAGCATTACCTCAGACTCATCCCTGCAAAACACGAGGCTGGATTGGGTATCTCTGTAGAATAAAAAGATTAAATCAAAAGTCTAGTTCAGTTCCTCCCTGGTCCTCAAAATACTTTTGTTTTCCCCCCAGGCTGATTTGAAATAGATCCCCACTCTGGCAGGGAATGTTCTTCTGCCAGCAGATGTTCTGTATGAATAGATTTGTCCTGCACTTTGCTCTATTTTATCCTTTTGGCCCCTGCACTAGTACTGTGAGGACAGCTCAGACTCTTGTGCACGTTGCCTGTCCTCGTACTTCAGCCCAGTGGAGCCCAACTGGTGACAGTCCTGCCCCTGAGCCACCACAGGGCTCTGTCTGTCCATAGCCCTTCTTGCACCAGTAAAATCCCCCTGTGATCTTTTCCCCCTCAGGTGTCAGTAGTGAAAAGTGAGGAGACCAAGATGCGGCAGGAGGACCTCAGCAGGTTGCTATACGAGGTACAGATACTGAGGAGTCAGCAGGAGAACATGGAGTGTCAAGTGCAGGACATGAAGCAGTGAGTTGAATCCTCCTCAGGCTGCTCCTTACGGGCATTTGCTTCTCTGGAGTTGTGGATTGTGGGGACTGGTTGGCAGGAGGAGCCTTACACACCTCCCTGCCAGGGAGCAGTGGTGAGCCAGGGGCTGATCACAGGGCCTGGATCTGTTCAGACAGCAACATGGAGAATTTCTATGCACACCTGATCTACAAAATATGAATTAGTGCTCAGCCTCTCTGTCTTTATGTTTTCCCTTTACAGACAAGGAGGGCACCAAGGAGGTCATGTAGGAAATATGTGTATAACCTGGGGACTTAAATCAGATGACTATTTCCTCGAGATAGAAAGGATGGTAAAGATGTAACTCTCTCACATGTAGAAGAGTCCTTGGCAGAGATGTGGTGGACTCCATTCCAGCTACTAAAAAAATAAAAGTATAACTCTCTGCTATCCTCCACTTCCAACATTTATCTACTTTACTGACCTAAAAAATATAGTACCTTATAATATATAATACAAGAACTGCTGTAGTGTTTAGTCTGTGGACTCATCTCTGAAGATTGTGTCTTCTGCCACGGCCAGAATTGTTGTGTAAGAGCAAACCAAGCAGATGCAATGCTTCCTGCATGTGGCTCCCAGACCTCCTGCTGTCTGAGACTCTGGGATCTTCTGAGTCAGACATGGTCACTAGAAGCTTAGTAAATGGATAAGGTTTTATAAATCATGTATTTGAAGAGGTTTTTATTTGCCTCCGGATTTTATTAATCTTTGCAGAGATCTTTGTTTAAGAAGCACTTGAATAATCAAAAAGACCCAAACCCTTTCCCTTATAATGAGAACTGATGTTCATACTGCATGAGATTCATTCCAGCTCAGCACCTTATGTGCAATGGATAAATATTTTTATCCTACATAATTTTTTAATAACTCCCACACTTAGCACATGCATGAGCTGGCACTGTGAAATCCAGGTACAGTGGCAATGAGTTTGTGGGCTTGAATTTGTTTTAATTTTTAAGGAATTCCAGTATCATTTATTTGGCCTTGATTTTAATTTATTCTCCCTTCTTATTTGCTTGCTCCCTCCCTCCATCTGGCAAAAGGCAAAACTGCATTCAAATAATGAGAAGAATACAATTTTTATAAACTATGATAGAGGAGAAGTCCCAGGCTGAAAGCATGTTAAGGAATTTACCCTGGTGAAGAAGCATTAGTTCATAACTCCAGTACGAGCTGTCAGACTAAGGAATGCTGCTTTGCTGGAAATCCTGTCAGTGCCAGCACTGAAAGTTCACTGCAGGGGTTCTGGCTGTACAAGCTGCTCTGCTGTGCTCTTTCTAGCCCCGGACCTTATCTTCCCAGTTCTAGCATCCACACTGGAAAGACTCAAAAGCAAAAGGATTTATTGGTTTCACCTGTACGATGGGTTTTGCTGGCCTGGCAGTTTTGCTACATCCATATACTCTGGAGATAAATTGACTGGCAAAACCTTTTGCAGCGTGGACTTGGCTGGCAGCCAGTTTGGAGGCAGCACAGTAAATAAATTCTGCATCTCCCCATCCCACTTACTGGGGCTGGCTGTTAAAGGAGGCCTGTAAGCTCCCCTCTGTGCTGCTTCATTTGCAGACAGAAAACAAGTTCTCTCTGTGCAGTGTGAGCACAGGTCTGTGCTGGGTTAAATGAGTCACTCCCACTAATCAAACCATTACAGTCCTCTTGGTTCAAGGCTCTGAGGGGCAGAAGCATCTCTTTAGCTGCTGCTCCAGTCACTCCAAACGTGCCTTTATAGCCCCACGTGTAGGAGGTTTCAGCAGGGAGAATACACAGGGTCTCTCTATCCATAGGATCTCACTGTCTTTGGGAGCAGTGGGGCAGTTGTAGAGAGGTTGGACTTTCTTGGCTCCTGTGGAAGGATAGTCTTGGTGATCCAAATCATTCACAGTCCCAAATCAGGCCTTGCTGAAATTCCTAGTTTGACCCAAATGTTCCACAAAAACTAAATGCACGTGTTCTTTGTTACCTTCCCCTATAAAAGTTGGCATTTCCTTGTTTGTTTTTCCTCCATGCTTTGGTCTATAGTTCTTTTGAGGTCAAAGAAGAACAAGGAAGGCAATTGTGTGACCCTGTTTGGGACACCTGACAAGAGCCAAGCACAACAGGAGCCCCAGAGTGAGGCAGACTTTGCACAGATGGGTCATGGCAGCACCATGGGCTGTTGGGACGTTTCTGTGCTCACAGAAAGTTTCTGTTTCCCTTCCAGGCAAAACGAAGTCCTTTGGCGGGAGGTTGTTTCTCTCCGGCAGAACCACTCCCAGCAACAGAAAGTGATCAACAAGGTAGTGGTGACAGAGACCCCAGCCCCTCCTGTCCTGCCTGCCCCACATCTCCTCTGATGCTTTTCTCCTGTCCTGCCTGCCCCACATCTCCTCTGATGCTTTTCTCCTGCCCTGCCTGCCCCACATCTCCTCTGATGCTTTTCTCCTGTCCTGCCTGCCCCACATCTCCTCTGATGCTTTTCTCCTGATGCTTTTCTCCTGTCCTGCCTGCCCCACATCTCCTCTGATGCTTTTCTCCTGTCCTGCCTGCCCCACATCTCCTCTGATGCTTTTCTCCTGTCCTGCCTGCCCCACATCTCCTCTGATGCTTTTCTCCTGCCCCATAATCTCCACACTCTGATATCGCAGTGTATTGGTTTTCCCTCTCTTTCAAGCTGTGTTATGCTTTTATGTGTCCTGTGAAAAGTGGTCATTAACAAAGCATAGACTCTGCCCTAGAGCAAAAGATTTTCATTTCCCTGTCAGTCCTTGCTGTGGTATTAGAAACCCCTTTTATGTTGAAGTCCTGAGCAAGAGAGCACAGCTGTCACTAATTGCCCTATGTTAGCTGTGTCCTGGTTGTACCAATGCCTTTGAGCTTCCCAAATCTTTCCTCTTTCCTTTGTGCAAGGCAGAAGCCCCCCTCCTGCCAGCACAAAGCTGCAGGTGGCACGTTGGCCAGCCATTCCCCCACTGGGACTATTACATTTTCTGGTGTGACAGGTATAGTCAAGGAATTACTATACAACCTTTTAGATTGTGGAGCCATCTCCCTTAAAATCTGGCATGACCAGTATAGAAAAGGCCTGTCCAGTGATTCCTGGATGGTGCTGACATGACTGAGCACGTCACATTTCCCAGGGCCCGAGAGCCATGTTCTGACCCTCACGTGGCATCACTGAGTCACAGGACTGGACAGAAATGCACGAGGCTATCAAAGCCTTCCTCCAGCTCTGAGGCTGGACCAGCCACGCAGCTCATTGTAGAGAGGCTTTTATGCAACTCTATTTTGTTATATTGAGCAGTGAGTAAGAGCCAGCTGTGATATATAATAATAATGCTCTCTTTGTTTGGAGGTCAAAGCAGAGCATTAAGTTCAAGCTGACCTGGGAATATGTTGCTAAGTGATTCCTCTACAAAGCCATTCTGCATCCTTTTTAGTGTCCTGTTTTCACAGGAGTGAAAAACTCAACTGAAAGAGCTCAGACCTCCATGCAGGGTCTCCCCTCCCGAGCTGCTTCTTTCACGTGCAAGAGCTTTGTCAGACTTTACAGCACCTCCTATAAACATCTCTGAAGACTTTAACAGAGTCCAAGTCTAATTCAGGCCTAGGAATGTTTGCATGTGCACTTCACAGGCGTATTCCCAGGTGTGATAGGACCATCTGGAGTTCTGCATGCACAGAAAGGGTGAGAGAAAGCCCTGAGCACATGGATCCAGCAGCCTTTGCACAAAGCAGGCACTGGGCTGTGTCCCTTGAAAGCCAGGCAGGCTGTTTGAGTCCTTGGACAGGTTATTTCTGCTTCAGGCTCCAGTGTCTCGTGCACTTTGGCTCCTGTATCTCATGGCTGCTCCCAGCTTTGGGGTGCTGCTGGGAGGGAGGGACGTGTGAGACAAGAATGGCTGCGGGAGCAGGGAGTGCTGAATCACTCTGCTGATTAACACCGGATTTTGATCTCTCCTGACAGCTGATTCAGTTTCTGTTTGGCCAGCTGCAATCCAGCCCCAGCAGCACTGGGATAAAGAGGAAGCTGTAAGTACCCTTGTGTGGGTGCATAATGTGCCCCTCGCTAAAAGCACAAGCTCAGCTCGCCCGGGCAGGCGGTCACCGGACCAGGGCTCCATGGGATGGGCAGTGAAAGGGCTGAACTGCCGAGTCAGACCTGCTGACAGGCCCCATTCACTGCTCTTTAGAGAAGCACCGTGTCAGCTCATGACCTTTATCTGGGGAACACAGAGCGTGAGGGGAGATGGGAACGCTAGCTAGTGGGAGACTAAAGGGCAGGACCCTGCTGCTGGTCCTACACGTTCCAGTTTTGCTACTTGACATCAGTAGGAGCAGGGCTGGGCCCAGCCAGCCCATGGACACCTTTGGTTTGACCCACAGTCACTGAATGTGGTGTGTATCCAACACAGGTTTGGTGGCATGGAACCAACAGAGAGGAAGGTGGGGAAAAATTTTAGCCAAGGGGTGTCTTTAGATAAGCTCTTCCAGGCAGGTGAGTAGAGGAGCTTGAATTAGGAAGCTTAGTGCCTTCTAGGAAAGCAGCCATGCCTTTGGTGCTTGTGGAGAAAAGGAATTTTCTAGGTAGTTTTATAGGGTCATTACAGCAGTGGCAATAGTGGGTGTATAGCAAAATATCCCAGTTCCCTGCTTCTCTGGGACTGTATCACAAAACCAAGCTCTGCCACCCAGGATGTTTCATGATGGAAAAGCAGTGCCATTTTGAGGCTCCTTCATATTTTTTTCTTGATTTCAGTCAAGAAAACAGACATTCCCACTACAGGACCAGCCCACAGATCTGTTGCTTCTTGTTAATGACCATCTCTAAAGGCCTAGTCAGTCACTTTTTGAAAGCCCATATGCAATGAGTTCAGGCTGTGCTCTGCTTTGTGTCTTCCTCTGCTTTATGACTTACCTAGTGGGTGGCACAGGTTCCTCTTATGAAGTGCTGTGTATGGGGATGCAGTTTTGCCAGAGAGGCTCTGAGTGTGAGGGAGTTGTAAGAAGGAATACAGATTCCCAGTATTGCACTAATCATGTCAGCATAACTACCTCCAGTAAAACAAGCTGAGGATCCAGCCTAGAGCTTGAAATCACTAGCAACTAGGGGTATGAACTGAATTTGTTATTTTACTGGCATCTTTCAAATAAGATCCAGAAAATCTGCACCGTCCCTTCTCTATATGGTAGTGTTCTTTTTTAATGGTGACCTCCTACAAAACTTTTCCCTTTCTTGTCCATAACACTGGAGAAGAAAGACCCTCACAGCTGAGGAAAGACAGAGCACCCAGGGGAAAAGGGCCCTTGGCTGAGAGACATTTCTTGCATGAGCAACCAGGAGCCAGTCAGTACATGCTGGAAAACAAACCTGTTTCTCTTCACAGACCTCTGATGCTTGACAATGGGATCTCAACTCCCCCAGTGTCCAAGTTCAGACACTTGTCTGCAGACCCCCTGCACGACCCCTATTTCATACAGTCGGTAGGTTGGCACTGGCCCCTGAGCTCGGGGGGGTTGCTGTGGCCAGGGGGGAAAGGCTTAAAGCAGTAACAGAGATTATGGAGTAAGTAATTTGGCAAGAGTTTGGCAGTGAAAAAGAGGTTTGCAAAGCTGAGTGACATTTATAATTTCTTCAGCTCCCCAGTTTCAGGGATGTCTTTGTGTGCTTGTGCTGCTGTGTTCATGTGGGAGGCCGTGGGAGTGAGGGGGAAAGGTGGACCCTGTAACCAAACTCTCTCTGGTGTTACCCCAGCCTGGTTCACCTCAGGGGAAAAGAGGAAGAGCTGTGTTCTGGAAGTGGGTACTATGATCTTTCTGACCAGAGCCAGATTTTTGTAGCTGCTGAGGGATCCCCACCATCCCCCTAACCCACCAGAGCAGACAACAGACACTTCTGTCCTGCAGTTAAAATATGTGGGCTGGCATGAGATACCCATACTGCCCTGTTGGGCTGGGTTGGATCTTTCCCTCCAGAGGAAGCTGAGCAGCCTAGGCAAAATGTCAGACATGGTAAAACCTCCTGGTAGCTGACACTTCAGTCCCAGTGCTTATTTCACACCTGTAACTCTGTGTGGTTGAGGAAAGGTGAGAGGAAATTAAAATGTTGCAGGGCTGGTGAAAGCGTGGTTGGTTTCTGTACAGGGTGGACTCAAGGTCCCAGTGAGTAAACCCCAACAATGTCAGATAGGGCCTTGGACTTGTTCTGGGGCTCAGAAGGATAAATCTGTATGATTTTTGCTTTCCTTTTAGCCATCAACAGAACCTGCCTCTTGCTTAAACAGCCCTGGAATTGCTGGAGGACCCATCATATCTGACGTTACTGAAGCATCACCATCCAACATAATAAATATGCAGCCCCCTCCTGAAAATGACAGGTAAACATGTTTGTGATTAAAAATGGGGAGAGTCAGGTCTGGACACACTCATGCAACTCTTCACAAGAGTTTTTTTCATGGCTGTAATTCTACCAAAGTTTCTGTCTGATACACAGACCTCTGTAGAGATGGTAGGATGAAATACTTTTTCCAGTTTGCAAAGTGGGTCAGATTTTCAGAATTAGAGAGGGGTAATAACAGCATAACTTTCAAAACAAAGTCCTGAGTTTCATGTTGAGAGCTTCCACTCTTTGAGAAATATTCTATGTTTCGTTATATTTTGTCCTCAAGACAGGGGCTGTCTCAGACTTAATCAACTAACTAGATACTAACACTTGTTGGGTTTGTAGAGAGAGAGAAATAATGTTTCCTTTTGGCTTTGGCAGAGAAGAAACAATCAAATTGTACATCTTTCTGCTAATGAGAACAGAAAGGTTGCATCACAACAACTTCCGATTTTTGACAACTTTTCTGTGAAAAGGCCCCAGTAACTTAAGAACTGAATGCAGAGGTATTTTAATGCTTATCTCTTCCTGCCACAGACATGCAGTGTGTTTAGGGCTAGTAGCAGAATAGCTACAGCTATGTCAGTGGAAAGTAAGTAGACAGATGAATCATGGAAACAGTTTCTGAGGCGTAGAGGCGAGACAGTTATACTCTAGAAATTGCCTGTAAATCTGCCACATAATTGAAACCATAGCCATAAAATTAGCTAGGAGCATGCAAAGAGCCTCAGATTAAAATAAAAAAAACAACAAAAAACAACCCTGGAAGCCATTTCTAAAGCAGAAAAACTTTAATATAACCTTCAAGTTACTTATTTCTGCTAATTACTGAGTGCCATCTGGTGGCTCCTGATCTGTGCTGTTGAGGATCTGAGCCAGCCCTGGCCCTCATCAGTTCAGGTGTGGTACTTGCTAAACCCACATGAGCTGCTGGTGGGAGCTGAGAACCCACGAGACCAGCAGATGATCAGAAGGGGCTGTTGAGGAAGGCTCTGCAGTGTCACACACCATCCTGTGTGTGTGACATGGTGCTGTCTCAGCAAAGCAAGTCTGTGAGTGTTGGGTGATAAGAGTTCTCAGAGTGGCTTGCATGCCCTGTGCCTGTTGATCTACGTGCCTTTGTCATTTTGGCTTCAGCTCTGCAGGTTCACAGGGAGCTGTGCAATCTCCTGTCAGTAATGTAGAGTAGACCTGTACATCCAAAATGCTGCTAATAAAAACTTCACTGGTACATGTCCATGTGGGAATAACGTGGAGTGCCTCTCCCACTGGAAGAAGGCAAGACTCCAAACGAGTAGAACTGACTGGACTGTCAGATTGTGATAGCTTCTGTTCCAAGCCCTGGAGAGCCACGAGATCCTGGCCTGTGTCACTGGGATCTCTAGAGTGCTTGCCTGTCCAAACCTAACTCCTGCATGGGAAGGTTTTACTGATCCCACTCCTATCTCTAGGGTGGAGACTTTTTCAGGAGAACCTCTCTAGCCCAGTGACCCTTTAACCTAACTCTCACCCAAGGAGTGATCAACCCATGGAAGTGCATTTCCCATCTTTGCACAACAATTGAATGGGGCAAATTCATTTTAACTGTGGCCGATGAAGTGACTAAAGATATTTCAGCTGAGCACGTTTCTAGAGCTTGCTGAGAAGAAAACAAGGCTGCTGGTTCCTTTTGCTCGTGGGGGGAGTGAAAGCCCTCCTGGGGCAGTCTGAGGGGCAGTGGAAGCAGCCCCTGTGCCCCTGCCCTGCCCAGCAGCAGGAGCTCGTGCAGAGCTGTGTGAGGTGCTGAGCCCTGTCTCTGGTGCAGGGAGAAGTGCCTGATGCTGATCAAGGAGGAGCCCGTGAGCCCTGGCGTGAAGGGCACGGCCGAGCCCGACGTGCCCCTGCCCGGCTGCCGGGCCTGCCCCGAGCCCCCGGTGCTGCCTGTGGCCATGGTCCAGTCTGTCCTGGAGGGCAAGGGGGGCTGTGCTGCAGCCCCAGGGACCTCCCAGCCGCCAGAGAGGAGGGGCAGAAGGGCTCTGCTGGACAGGTGAGGCGAGGAGGGACAGCTGTGGCCCTGCCTGTTCCCATGGCTCTGCCTTCCCACTCGCAGGGTGGGGAAGGGGGGAGTTGGGGAGGGAAGGAGGGAGGGTGACTCCAAGTTGCCAAGTGCAGCCTGGTACCTGTGGCACCTGCTAGAGGAGCCTCAAAGTGCAAGGGACGGCTCCCAGAGCTGGGGGGTCTGTGGGTGACTGCCTGAAGGACCAGCAGAGCTGTCAGAGGATGTGCAGCACAGCCTTGGGAGCGGGAAGAGGGGGATTTGCCCAAGGCCCAGGTGAAAGCTGGAGCCCAGAGCAGCATCTGTGCTGCAGGCTGGCAGGCCACTGGACTGTGCTGCACATCTGCAAGGGGCACCAGCACAGTGCCCCTGGGCTCAGCCACAGGGCAGGCTGGGTGAGCCTCTGCTGCAGCTGGGGCTGAAATCCCAACAGCTCTGAAGTCAAGGCTGAGGGCTCAGGAGACCTCACCAGCAGAAGGAGAGCCTGGTGCAGCTTGGTGGATGATGTGGAACTGCAGGTCATTCTTGATGGCAGCTGCAGCACTGTAAGGAGGACTGGGGAAGAATGGTGGGGAACCCAAACACTCATTAGGGTTATCAGAAAAGCTTCCATTTTCCTTTAGGTCCTTACAGAGAATCAGGATCCTCCTTCTGAATCCACTGGATACTTCAAAACATTTTATTAGAAGCAAAATAATCCTTTTTTAAAGACCTGAGTTTAAGAGACATTTTTTATAGCTTTTGGGGGGATTAAACCCAGCAGGGCCTCACTGTTGCTCCTTTAGCTGAGTATTTCCAGTAAATGCAGCCTGCAGGCTGAATGCCTGCAGCTAAAGGTCACTCCTTTAAAAAGCATCAGTTAACAGTAATTATTGGACCAGTAAGGATGGCAATGCAGCCTGTTCTGGTTTCAAGTGCCTCTAAAAGGATTTCCTCTAAGGAAAGGTTTAATTTTCCCAGTCTCAAGGAGGTGCTTACAGACTATCCATCCCCAAACCACGTGTGTCACCCAGGAGAGGGGGAGTCTCACTTGTTTTACCATCAGCCCAGTCTCCTGTGTGCTCTGCTGAGTTGTGCTTCTGGGATTAAACCAAGTTACATGGCATAAACCCAGACTGGCAGTGGGCTCTTGGTTTTCAAAATGAGATTCAAACACCCTGCTGGAAGGCTGCTCAGTCCTGCTTTCTATACATGTCTGTGCAAATGTCCTTTGTGGCAACATGTCCCGTTGTGTTTTCTCAGAACAGATATTTCAGACCCGTTGGAGGGCACTGACTGGAGCCTGGAGGGGCTGCAGCTGCTGCTGAGGAGCCAGCAGTACGGCCTGGAGCCTGCCAGCCTGCTGGATGTGAGTGCTGCTGCTCAGGTGGGGCTGGGTCACAGCTGGGAGGGTCACAGGGCTTCCCTTGGGCTGCAAACCAGACCATGCTGCTCCTTCCTGTGTGGCATTTTGTCTGCCACATGCTGCCTGTGGAGTCAGCCCTGTTTCAACCTGCTCACAAGAACTAGCAAGATCTCAGATTAAAGGATGCTTTTTCTTTTTGCACTGAAAATAAACATATTTGAACTTCTCAGAGCACAAAACACGGTGCATTTGGTAAAGAAATCAACAAATGTATGTAAAATAGGTTTAATATGACTCTCTAGCTAGTTTGGTAATTACTTTGTGTGGGTTAGTTTATTTTCTGCATCTTAAATACTCCTAGATAGTGTTTAACTTTTACTACCTTCCCCTTTCCCCCTTTCCCACGTTCAGGGAAGTGTGGCCAATGTCAAATTCTCTCTCTGCTGAGGCATTTGTCTGTCTCAGTTCTCAGGTCACCTCTCCTTAGAAATGGATGGTGGCTTTTTCTTGGCTATACATGCAGAAATAGGAAGGTTTGTTTATTCTCTACTGTACATAAAGTTAGTGTATGAAAGGTTTTTGCCAATAATCAAATAACTCTGTCCGTAAGGAAGGAATCTGTATGTCAAAGATATGCTCCTTTGAGGAGGTGCTTCAGATCAAGCTTTCATGGATAAATAGGAATGAAAAATCATTTAAAAATCAATCTTATTCTCTTCAAGTCATTTCCCAAGTGTCTGTGATTGATTTTGACTTTACAGGGAGCATTTCTAATGGGCTGCTCTATCACTGGCTCTGTTGGTTCCTGTTTCTTGTTTCTCATTAGGAAATGTTTCTCATTTTCCTGTTACCCACTCACGTCTCTCTCTGTGCAACTAACGTCACGAGAGTGATAATGAATCATAGAGCTGTGCCCCAGATCAACAGCTCCTTTTCCCAGACTGCTCAGACTGACTGCCATGGAAGCAATGATGCAACAGGAACCTGCCCTCTGCTACTGAGTTTTGGAATGCTTTTAAAGCCCACATGGCTCTGGAGGTGTCCTAGAGCAGTGAAAAAGGGCTTTAAGTTGCATGTGCAGTGACACAAAGAGCTGCCCTGGTCTGTGACACCTCCGTGGCACCCGTGTCTGTGCTGTCCCTCCAGGCAGCAGCAGGGCCTGGGGGTCTCACAAGTGCCCCCTTAGCCCAGTACACAGGAGCCTTTGCCTGTAGCTTCCCTTGGTGCAGGGCTACAACCCTCCAGCAGACAGTGGAGGACCATTCCACCCTTCAGAGCCCTAACTGTGTTTGTCTCCCAGCAGGTCTTTAATCCCAATTTATCTCTGAGTGAGTGGAATATGACTGAAATGGAGGCCAGCCTGTCCCCGGTGAGTATTTCTGAGATATGAAAATAATAATCACAGAGGCACAGAATGGCCTGGGTTTGGAAGGGACCTGAGCCAGCCACGGGACACCAGCCTGGCCACCTCGGGTGACATGAGCCACGTCAGCCAGTGCTCCAGGGGGGATTGCACCTCCTGCAGCCTCTCCTGCAGGCAGATCTGCCCTGGAGCCCTGGGTCTGGGGGTTTGGGAGGTGCAGTGAGCTGGGGGACAGGCAGGGCAGGAGGGTGGCTGCTGTTCCTGGGAGGTGTTGGGAGCGTGATGAAGCACCTATGCTCCCAGTGGCCTAGTTCTAACGAGCTCCCCGTCTTTGTATGATTGTACATTGTAGTTTATATTTTTGCATCAAGATGCAGCGACTCACAGTGGATCTGGAGAAGAATGCAACTGAGCTGCCCCCAAAAGTGTTCAACCCCCCGTTTAACAGCACCTGCCCAGGTAGGAGCAGCAGCTGGGAAAGGGATGTCACTGAGGTGCTCACAGTGGCAGCAGTGGATACCACGGCCAGCACTGACTGTTTGCCAGGGGAGTTGTTATTTTACTTCCAGACCATGGTTGTTATTTTATTCCATCATTGCCAGTCAGCAGTGTTGCCACAGCAGCTGCTGAGCCAGTTACTGCACAGTGGGGAAGGTGTGAGGGATAAACTGAGGTGTAAATGGAATTGAACTGCCCCCATTTCTGCCATGGGTCCTCTCCAGGTCTGTCAAGCATCTGCTTTCTCTGCCTGTTCGTGGCCACCTCAGGGCACTGTGGTGATCTCCGTGGGTGGGGTGGTAAGAGCTGCACAGGTCCTGGGTTTGCTCTGGCTCCTGCTGCACAGGAGGTGCCCTGGAAGCTGCTGGCAGCCAGAGGCAAAGGCTGTGTCTCTGTTTCTCCAGACCTTTGAGCAAACCTCAGGGGAACTGTCCAGCTGATCTCCCACTCACTGACTGATGAAGTGTGTCACTGACCTTAGACATGAATCTAGAAGTGTTTTCCTGGTCATGAAATAGTGATATATTATTATTTTCATGTGTATTCAGCTGGGATAGACTTGAAAGAGAAGTTTTTGTGAGCTCTGGTTGGTGCTGTAGCCACTTTTTGATTTATTGCATGTTGTTCAAGGACTTCCAACCTCAGCATTTTGCATGAGCATCTCAAAGGCATTAAAAAAAAAAGCCCAGCTACACCAGGGAGAGTCCTTGAGCATCCCCTGTTTGCAAAGCCTTTGTGGCCCATGCAGTGGTGGGATGCTGGAATAATGGGACAACTGACAGAGGTCTCCTTCTACAAAGAGGAGGAAAGCCAGAGAGTTCTTAGTGAAGGAGAAGAGAAGCTGCTCTCATCCACTCCCCAGTGTCTCCAACCATTTGGTCATCCCTCTTTCACTTCTTGGGAGGCATCTCAGCATCCAGGCAGAACCCACCTGGTGACCTGCAGAGATTCCCATGGATCTTAACAGGCTTTAAGTGAGTCCAGGTGTGACTCAAGTGTTTCCAAGTGATTTTTGCCTGGCATGAGGCTCCTCACTGCTGTTGCAATGAGGATCTGTCACTTTTCAGTTGTACAGAATAAAGTTGGGTAACTTGCCCTGCAGAAGCTGAGTTTTCTCCTGTGTGTTTGCATTCCCAGGGAAGGATGTCATCCTGGAAAGTGCCCAGCAGTTCCTCCTCGACCGTCAGTCCATCTTTGGAAACGACCTCCTCAGCTTGCCTGAGAGCTCATCCCTTTATGTTCCACCTGAAAATGTGGCTTCCTACCTGTCCTCTGTGGGGGTCCAGGGGGACATCCCTTTAAACCTGAGCTCTTCAACAGACAACAGCCAGTGATTTTGCTTCCAAGAACCAACATCTCCCTCCCACCCATCCAAGCATCCACAGGTTTGAATGTAAAGAAACCAAAGTGACTCAGAAACCCACTAGAGAGTTTCTTTTTGTGCCCTTTTTTTGGAGTAGATGGAAATGGTTGGTAGCTGTTGCGTTGCTCTCCCTGCACCTGGTTTTCAGTGTTTTTGAAAACAAAATACTGTTTCTGGTGCTTGCTCCTAGGGGGAGTGAAAACTTGGCAGGATTTTTTTTTTCTTGAAAATGCTTTTAGAAATTTCAAAACTTCTAACAAAATTTAAGTGAAAAGTAGCTTGAAAGTCCATCTGGGACTTCATAAAATAGTGATCCTGACTAGTGTCTGCTACGGCAAACTGTGGGATTTTACAGGGGCAGCACAGATTAGCTAAGATGCCTGACCCTTCTCCATGCTCTTCTTGAAATAGGAAAATAATCTAATGCTCTACAAATATTTTTTTATCCATTTTCTGGGTTTGATAGGATGCACCTGTGCCTCTCCCTTGTCCTCCTAGGGTGAGTAGGAAACAGATCTCTCAGGGTGTGCAGAAGATAATTTTCTGAGTGACCCCCCAGGACGTGTCTCTGGCTCTCAGGGGAGCCACAGACCATCACAGGCCACAAAACATCCCACGCTGAGTTGAGAGCATTTGTTGCTTGGGATTTGTTTTGCCCCAAATTTCTTTTCTCTTAGATAAAGGCAGGGCACTCCATACTTAAAAACATAAAAAAGGGATAGACTCTTCTGCACACGCAGTTTTTCATGTGCAGAGGGGGCTGAGGGAGCACACTCTGGGGTTTGGTGCTGGCTAAGTATTCCATGTCCAGTCCAATGGTTTTTTTCCCTTGGCTTTGACCTGTTCTATTTCCTCTGAAGATGTGCCCGTTGGTTTATTGATGTATAAAATCTGATTAAAGAGTTCAATTGATTGGATCCCCCTTTTAGAAGGACTCTCAGCTGCTCAGTGTAGGAGAGAAGCAGAAGGGTTAGTCCACCATGTCCCACAAACTTTTCTTCTGTCCTTTGTGCATCTGAGACCAGCCTCAAAGGCTGAACTAATCTTCCCCTTCCATGTGGTTTCTGACGACTGAGTTTCTCAACAAAGCAGAGCTTTGTTTTTTATGCTGTAGTTCTAATGAGAACATATTATTTATCTCAATATCCTCTACCTGAGTTGCTTTTCCTTAGGAAAGCTACTCAAATGCAGTAGAACAGATCCAGGAAATTCAATTAACTCAGGCCTCCTAAGGGCTTAGACAGGGAGGTGTAAGCTGTGCCAGTGTCATTTGAAGAAATGCTCTGTCCCCTTTCATTGCCATGACAGCTCTTGGTTATAAACCAGATTTCTGAGCATCTTGGTCAAGCAGCATCCACACCAAAATGCAGTCAACCAATCAGATGAGTGCAGGCTCAAAATGACAATAAGATGAGCATGTTTTAAATGGACCTTCCTGTCACAGCCCTTTCCTCCATCCATTTATCATTATGTGAACAGATGTGTTAGTTCAGAAACGTTCACTTTTGAGCACATTTTCCCCCAGCTGACTCCTGTGTGCTGGGAGCTCTGTCACTGCCTCGGTGGTGCAGTCTGTGCAGGAGCAGGGTGTGAGAGCTTCTGAATTAATCCCAGCCACTGTTTTTGTGTTCAGGACTAAGGGAAAATTCTGGCAGCCCCCATTGGCCTGGTATTTAGATGATGTGCTTGAGTGTATCCTGGAAAAGGTTTTCCTTTTCAAGGGATTTGTGCTCAGAAAGTTCACCTAGATCAGCCCATTTGCCACTATTTTGCCATTTCCAGCGATGGAAAGTCGTTGAGTTGCACTCTGGTTAATTCTTTTCTCATAGATAATTGAAGGCTGTCTGGTGTCTGCTGACACCCAGCAGTGTGTGTTCAAGATTCACATCCTTCTCTGAGCTCCCACACTCTCGGCTGCTGAAATGTTAACACTGAATGTATTGATCCAACAAGGTGTTGAAGCACATGCTTAACCTCAAGCTCCTGAAGCCTTTTTCCGAAGCCTGTGGCATGCTTGAGGTTGGGTGTGGGTTCAGTGCCCTCCTGGTTGGGCTGAGCAATGACCCACTCGGGGACCTGCCTGTGCAGGGCCGGCTCAGCTCGGCCCAGGGCCCGACACCGTCCCGGGCCGCGGCTCCGTGCAGGGGCAGCCTGAGCTCGTGGGGAGCAGCCTCTCGGGAGGGTCCTTGGGGTTTTCTTTAGGCTTTTTGCTCTACTATAAACATGGGATTGGAGCTTGGCAGGGAGAGAGGAACCTCCAGAAGAGAACTTGGGAGCCACTCCTGTGAAGAGCCAAGCTCGTGTTCCTCGGCTTTTCACACTGTTGATTTTACTCGAAGGTGACGTGCTGAGACTGCGTTTTGCACTATGCTGTACATTTGTAAAGTTTTACAGAAAACACTAATTAAACGTGTTTCCTTTTTCTCATTTAGTCCTGCTTTGGCATTTCTCTCACTCCTTTCGCCAACCCCTCACTCCTTTTCTCCTTCCCAGATGCAAACCTCCTGTAAGATTCAGGGATTTACCTGTGAGCTCAAACAGGCCCTGCTGGTGGGTTGTGGTCACTGTGAACACACAGGACCTGGAGACACCTCACGTGTGAAATGTGGCAAACACAGCTCAGAAAGCTGCTGAATTCTCCAAACTAAAATGCTGGTCAGGGTGGGTATATCTGTATATACCCACAGTAAAGGAATCTGTAGTTCTTGAAACCACTTGCTGCCTTTTTTTTTTTATGTATCCTGGTTTTCTTGCTTTCAGTGATAATAGAGCTCAAACTTCACTCTTGGATTACTTTTTAAAAATCTTTTGTTTACAAACATAATATAGTCCCTCCTTGTTTCTAGTATAGGAGGAGGGTACCAGGACAGGCACTAAAACACAGCACAGAAAATGCACAACCCAAAGCCCTCAAAGTGGTCCTTATCCAGCTTCCAGAAAAGGAAGCAGCTACTTTTTAGGAGGAAGCTCCCACAGGTTGCTGGCAGCATTTGCAGCTTTCTGAAGGGCAGATTCCTTTGCTGGTGCTTTCAGACAAGCCTGTTCTCCACAGGCCCTTGGCTCACCCTCCCCCCCTGTCCTGGAGCCCAAGGATTTTACCAGCATGTTTTAATCCATGGAAAGTGGAAAATGGCTGAAATTTAAAGCAATTGTGTTGTCTTCCCTGAGGGCTTTTACAATTACTTTGTGTCACTGTGAGATCCAGTTCTCTTGCCACCAGGTGGCACCTAAGCCCAGCTAACTGGAAATACAGCTTTTCAACAAGCCCAGGGTAATATTTTATTTCTTTAAATCTGCACATCTACAAGACCTGTTCAATTCTATTTATCACGAATTATTAAGTGTTTATAGAAACATGAAAAAAGACACTCACCTGAATTTGAGCAGGGCTTAGTGAAGTGAGGTCACTCAGAGCTGAGGCCATTGCTGCTGTGGTGGTGGTTGTGTCACAAAAACATTGTCAGCCCTTGATGATGAGGCCACTCTCACAGGGTGTGGTTACAAGCAGAATCTTTATTTGATTCAAATGACAGATACATGTTACATTTTGCTTTGAAACTCCATCTGTATTGAAACCCTGAGATATAAACATTTAACTAAGTAATTTCTAGAAGGATGCAAAGGCACAAAGAACAGGAGGATGGAATTTAACCTCAGAACAGCAGTTTGCAAAGCAGTGAACAGCCCCTGCCCTGCAGAGCCTGGGCCAGGGGGTTTGTGTGTCACCGGGTGGTGCCAGTTCCAAGTGATGGTCCCACTGCTGGGCTCCATCCTTTGGGATGGTCCCATGCACACAGATCCAGATTTGGTCCCTTTTTTTCCAAAGGGATTAATCCAATCCACTCTCAGTGTCCTTGTCCCCTGGTGCTCTGTGAGGACACCCTTCACCCTCAGCCAGGCCCTCCATCACTGGAGCTTCTCCATCACTGCCAGCCCCTGTTAAAAGCACAGAGGTAACACACAGATAAAAATCACTTGGTGGTCTTTAATGCTGAAAAAAGAAACGTAGAGTCCAATTTTTTAAAACCATTTCAATGAAACTCAGCAAGAAATCCTCTGTAGAGAAAGAGAAAATACCATTTTAATTCCTAATTTATTAGGATTCCCACACAAATAAAAGGAAGAGGTGATTGTAACTAACAATCTTCAATGAGAGCTGAACAGACCCTTACTTTTAGTGTGCATGTGCCACCCACCTTTTCCTCTGTGATCAGTAATGTCACTGTAATCTTACCATCCTCTTCCCATGGGCTTGGGTCATCTGGCTGATGGCAGACTGGTGACAAGAGCAGATGGTCCTTGGGCTCAGTGACTACCTCTTGTATCAAGGGTTTCAAGGGGGCTGCTTTTTTATCTTTGATCTCCAGGTGTCTTTCTGAATTAGCAGGCTCTGTAAAGAAGCTTTCAAGAAGGGGTCTTAAGTGCTCCTCCTCTTCATGCTCTTTATGGCTCTTACATGCATTTGAAAAAATTGCTGTTGGAACTTCTTCTACTGATTTCTCAAACGTGCTTTTATTGTTTTCCTCTAATGCAGAATCGCTGTCATTTGTCACTTCAGAAATTATTTCAATCTTTGGGTGATAGTCCTGCTGTAAAGGTAGAAAACATAATTGAAAATATATTATTCTTAGATATAAAAGCTAAAGGATGTGTAACTATCACTTGGATCCATGTAACAGTTGCCAGCTTCGATGTGGTGTTCTCCCAAAACGTAGGGAAGATGTGCTTCCCCCCCAGCCCTGCTGCTGTATGGATGGCTCTCAGGTTAACTATTCCTCAGGCTTCAGTGACCAACTGACCATAAACCAGCAACAGTTCATAAAAAGCCCTATTTCAGCAATTCAGCAGTGTGTGGGCTGCATTGGATTACTTTACTCCAAACCTGACTAACATCTTCATTTGTCTTCAGTCAAGAGCTGAGCACCCTTTGCAGCATGACAGCTGCTAACACAGACTCCACTAATCCTTTGTTCCCTTTCCTTGCCACCTTTTAATTGGAGGCTTTGTTGGCCAAGACATTTTGCAACGCTGCTGTGAGTCTGTGACCAAAAGAGAAAATAAATTCCATGCCTCGTGCTGACTGTCAGAAAAGTTACCTTGGAGAGACTTGTAAGAACATGTCCTGTACCAGCCCCTGTCTCCAGCAAGGCCAGGATGATTCTCTGATTAGCAGGAGAGCCAAAACTGTGCTTTTAGTCTTTGGTGCCTTCTTTTTGCCCCTTCTGTTTCTGCTTATAGGCTTTTGCCTAAAAGATTAGCTTGAGCAAAGCAAAGTGCTAATGTGCACGAGGACTGGCCTGCAGTGGAGCAGAGGAGGGTCAATCTCTGTGTTTTCAGCTGAAATGTCAGATTTTATTCAGCAGCAGGTGCTTTGTTCTCTCTATTCAGTCCTTTGCAGCATAGTAGTACTGGTAAAGTGTATTTTAAGAGTAATCTTCATTATAACATTACATACTACTAAGAAATTAAACTTATGTAACTGGTGCATTACTTGATCTTAGGTTTTCATTCTCCTATTTTTGCTATAGAATAATATAAAAATCAAATTAAAAAAAAAGATTTACAAGTGGATATGATCTGCTGAAATCATCCATTTTAGTTTATAAATGCATAACTGATTGCACCTCCCAACCCAGCATTTCACAACTTAGATTATCCTCACTTTGCAAAACATTTGTGAATGTGTTTAGGCAAGCTTCATTACTGGAATTGATAAAAATGTTACCTTCTGAACAAAGATTTCATCTTCTGGGGGAAATTCAGTTACATCTACATCTTCTAAATCAGGTAGTTCCTGAAGACAATGACAGATCATGAATTAGCTACTGTAACCCCTGAAGGAGGACACCTCTGCTCCCTGGGAACCTTCTCCAGGGCAGTGCTCAGGGTGTGAGGCCAGGCCAGCAGTGCCCCCCATCCTCCTCTCACAGCTGGGGCCAGTGCAGCATGGCCTGCAGTGACACAGCTTTACAAAAACAGCATTCAACAAGTACAACTTCAGATCTGAGACTAATGTTAGTGGGTGGAATTTGGAGTCAGCAGGGAGGTGAAGTAGCTGTTATTGCTGCAATCACCAGGGTGCACCTGCAGACCAAACCAAAATCACTCACTAAAAGTCCTCCTGGTTTAGGTACATGGAATGTGGGTCAGACACTGCCGAGGCCTGTGCAGCAACAGGAGCTTGTTTCTGCTTGACACAGGGATGTCACAACCACCACATTGCAAATCCTTCCACTCTCCTCCCTTATCTCACTCCCCAGACCATCCACAGTCGGGATCCGAACCAGGACAGCTGTGCTGCTCCAGAGCTCCTCACCAGCCCTTCCCAGCCATCCCCTGCCATGGCAGCACTCCGGCTCCTTGGAATGTCTGCAGCGATGTGAGTACAGGAGGGGGTCTGCTGGGAGAAGCTCTTGCTGTTCCTAAACCTGGCTGGAGAACAAAGTAGCAAAGGACACTGAAATGTGCATTAGTGTGTGATCTGGGTTTGGCTTTTCTCCTGCAGAATTAAAATAGTCCCTGTTTAAGATCTAAAGAAACCCCAGGGGTGCATGATGAACAGTTCTTTATGTCACAGTTTGTGCAAAGGAGCTTCCTATGGTGCCACTGAGCACCAGGGGAAAACCAAACACTGAACTGATGAGTTCCTCACATCGTGGGTACCTACAGTATCACCACACATTTAAAGCCTTTATTTCAGACCCTGCAAGATCTGCTTTTAAAGATAGTATTGTGTATGCTTTGAATTGCTGCCAGTTCTCTCCACTGTGTTTTTTAAACCCATTATTAAAGACAGCCAAGCAGGAGGAGGCAGCAGCAAACCCTCTACTGAAGCAGTGGGTTGAGCCCTTGGAGAACATGGAATTTTTTCCTGGGAGATTGAGAGCATGGCAAAGATATGAGACTTTTCTGGCAGTAGTTAAGCATGGCACTGTAAGGTATCAAAGAGTATATGAAGTGCTCTGGGAAATGGTAAGGCCAGAAGTTTGTTCTTGCTGGTTGTGTCACAGTGT